GTATCCTCACGAGGTGACAAGTAGATGTAGATGTATATAAATTGTGTATGGTTTTTTACGTTATATTTAGGATGACGTCATACAACACGGACAGACAACGTTGTCAATGCCTATTTTTTTCTTATAATGTACCAGAATGTCATGTGTCAATTCTGTCGAACGAAACAATTATTAAGGAAACGGAAAATAAACTTTGCTGCACGAAGGTTCATACTTTTTGCCTTCCTTTTTCAACAAATTGAAATTGACTGAAACAAATCGATGACGTCAAAAACGTTCGTCGGTTCTTAAACCAGAAGTCATTCATTTTAATTTGTCAAAAAAATTGAATGTGTCATATGAATTAATTTACGACAACCCTTTTTTTTTCAAGTTATGACGTGTTCGATTTCCAAAGTACCATCGTCACCAAAAGTAACTGGGACAGCATCATGTTAGCTCTTGTACTATTATATGATTTTTAGTGTCAATTATTTGTCAAACTATGGATTAATGCATTGAAATGAATGACAGTAGACTTAGTCCAGGAGATTAATATGAATTATTTTTGTCCCAGTTACTTTTGGTGACGATGGTACATGCCGTTGAAAAGTACTTTTAGTTTTGTTAGGTTGGCAGCAGAAATTTACCAAATGTGACGTCATCCTAAATATAGCGTAAATATCCTACACATTTCTTGGACATTAAACTACCTGAATCTCAAAAACTAGACGTAGGATTGATTCGGACCTATATGAGAACTTTTTATCAGGAAATCAAGTTTTAAAGACACATCAAAATTTCATCGAGTTTGACAGAAAACCAAATACCCATAAGATGTGTGCGGGGTCCTTTAGAAGAAAATATAAAATCAACAGCAAAAATCCTGGAATAGGCAAAAATTAAGAACAAAATTCCCTCTGTTTTCATTCCAAGCTCCTGAATTTTCCTTTTTTAGGAGAAAACATAAAACCAAGAGCCTGGAATAGACAGAAATTGATTTGGGGAATTTGAAAAATCAAGATTGAAAATGTATGGAAAATACAAAAACAAAACAGACCCTGGAATAAACAAAAATTGAAACGATAAAGAGAATAAATAAAGAGAGGAAATTAAGAACAAAATTCTTTCTTTTTCTAGTTCTGACTTATGGTGCAGAGACACCAAAATATCAGCAGAAAAGTTGAGACTTGAGAGTAACACAGAGACGAATGCATGGATTGACTCTAAAAAACAGAGTAAGGAATAATGAGATCCACCTTAGAACTGGGATAGACGATTTGTAGAACGTATCGCAAAACAAAAGTGGAAATGGGCAGGCCACGTTGCCAGATCTGAGAACGGGAGATAGACGAAGAAATTCATTGAGTGTAGATGGACCAAGAGCCGACAAACGAGACCGAGGAAGACTTCGATCAACAGATGACCTGAAATTGGATCTTAACTGTTCAGAACTGAGGTTCAGAGCAGGAACAACTGGGAAATTTAAGTGCAGGTTCGATGATGATGATGATGATAATGATGATCCAAGTTAACTCAAATAATCCCAAGTGGACATGCTTTGGTTTGAGTGACGTAGTTCTTTGAACTTCGGGGAGCTTTGGGACATACAGGGTTTCCCCGTTCAACTGGTCAAAAATGCTAGGGTATATAGGAGGAACCATAGAGAACTAGTTCGAGATAAGACACCGATGGTCAGAAGTGCGCCGTTTCCAAAATACAGGATGATGATATAAATAAACTGAATTTTGTTTATATTGTTAATTTAATTTGTCCAGGGACGGACTTGCAGCACATGTGTTGTAAGTTGTAAATGTTTTGAAGAAAAAATGGCGACAATACAATAAGGTAGGTATACCAGAAAGGTACAGGGAGTTTTTTTATATATTGACACCTCATCGCCTTTACCTTTACAGGTAGATGACAGGTGTAAATATAAAAGTTGTTCCTACAGTATTGGCTAAATTTTTAGAATCCATGGTCAGAAACAAAAATTGAATGTCAGAAATGTGAAATATTGCATGCTTTCAGCTTTTGCCAAATGGGATGCGCTTTATTTGGTTCTATATTCTTGAAGAGCACAATCTCCCGATTGCAAAACTATATAGTTTGTCTATATTTGATTGAGCCGTCTCCAACATATTTGGTTCTGAAAATTTTAAAAATACTATCAGTAGTAGGATAATATTTTTACAATTTTTGGAGACGAATATATGAGACATTGCTCAATCAAATATAGATCGGGGCTCTTCAAGAATATAGAATGAAATATAGGGCATCTCATTTGAAAAAAGCTAGAAGCATGCAGAATTCCACATTTCTGACATTCAAATTTTGTTTCTGACCATGGTTTCTAAAAATTCAGCCAAAACTGTACAACTTTTGTATTTACACCTTTCTTCTACCTGTAAAGGTAAAGGCTCTGTAGGTGGGGTGTCAATATATATAAAAAAACACCCGTACAAATAAGTGGATTATTGCGGAACTTATGGGTGGACCTCTGCGGGACGGGCGCAGTGAGTTCCGCAGCCACCTACTCACCAATACTGTTGAACTGTTCAAATAAGACACTCATCACCTGAAACCTGTAGTTTTTGAACTAATGAGAAAAATTCGTAACTGAGTGAATCAGGTTAGTATTGTACTTGAGCAACATATTGGTGAATAGATGGCTGGGTCCACCCATAAGTTCCGCAACTTCCACTCGTTTGTACTTGAATAACTTGTTACAATATATTACTAGTTTGGTAAAGTAACATTACTAATTCCTGTTAAAAGGTAAATTGACAAAAAGTGGATAATCTTACAAATTCTGACTTTATATAATAAGTTATTGTTCAACTACAAATAAGTGGATTGTTGCGGAACTTATGGGTGGACCTCTGCGGGACGAGCGCAGCGAGTTTCGCAGCCATTTACTCACCAATATACTGTTGAAATGTTTAAGTGAGACATTCATCTGAAACGTAGTTTTTAAACCAATGAGAAAAACTCACATTTGAGTGAGTCAGGTTACTATCGTAATTAAACAACATATTGATGAATAGATGACTGCGGAACTCGCTGCGCTCGTCCCGCAGAGGTCCACCCATAAGTTCCGCAACAATTCACTCATTTGTACTTGAATAACTTGTCACATTATGTTATTAGTTTCGTAAAGTAACATCACTAATTCCTGTTAAAAGGCAAATTGACAAAAAGTGGATAATCTTACAAATTCTGACTTTATATAATAAGTTATTGTTTAAGTACAAATAAGTGGAACTTATGGGTGGACCTCTGCGGGACGAGCGCAACGAGTTCCGCAGCCATCTACTTACCAATATACTGTTGAACTGTTCAAGTAAGACATTCACCTGAAACGTGTAGTTTTTAAACCAATGAGAATAACTCACATTTGAGTGAGTCAGGTTAGTATCGTAATTAAACAACATATTGATGAATAGATGGCTGCGGAACTCGCTGCGCTCGTCCCGCAGAGGTCCACCCATAAGTTCCGCAACAATTCACTCATTTGTACTTGAATAATTTGTCACATTATGTTACTAGTTTCGTAAAGTAGCATTACTAATTCCTGTTGAAAGGCAAATCAACAAAAAGTGAATAATCTTACTAATTTTGACTTTATATAATAAGTTATTGTTCAAGTACAAATAAGTGGATTGTTGCGGAACTTATGGGTGGACCTCTGCGGGACGAGCGCAGCGAGTTCCGCAGCCATCTACTCACCAATATACTGTTGAACTATTCAAATAAGACACTCACCTGAAATGTGTAGTTTTTGAACTAATGAGAATAACTGACATTTGAGTGAGTCAGGTTAAGTATCGTACTTGAACAACGTATTAATGAATAGATGACTGCGGGACGAGCGCAGCGAGTTCCGCAGTAATCTATTCTATACATACATCTGCAGTGGGAATTTTATTAGGCGAACCATTTATTATAACCAGTAGTAAACTTGGATCCTCTTGGATATGAAATGCAATTTCTTTTGCTGAAACCGGAGGTTCTATCATACTTTCTAAAAGTAAAACATTTAATGGAGTTGGAGTAACATCATTTGAGTGGTAGGCGGCTAAGGGTACCTGCATTAGAATTAACTTTTCCTTGTCTATATTTCATCGAATATTCATACATTGACAAAATGAGTGTCCAACGCCAAAATCTAGGAGACAAAATTGACGGAATAGCTTTTTTGGTCTATTTCCAAGGTTTTGACAAGCTGTCATTTCGTTACGGATGAAAATAATAAGATGAAATTCTAGGGCCATAAAGAACTCGATGAGACCTTTAAAAAGAGATATGACATGACCCCTATCCTCTATGCAAATTTTGGGGGTTGTTCTCCCCCTAGCTAGGGGATTGAAGCTACGAGGATGAAAAAAACTGAAAAATAGTTCCCCCTCAAATCAAACATCGACGTGCCCGAGCGTTTTCCCAGATTCTCATCCCAAATCCAATAACTCGGGGTGGATTGTTTTCCCTGGGACACCCTGTATAATATAATATATAAAAGTACGCCACATGTGCTGCAAGTCCGTCTCTGGACGAATAAAATCAACTGCGATTCCTCAAAAAGTTGCATCACCATTTAAATCCTGAAAATTTTATGAAAATCGCTAAAATTCGATTTTTTTGTAAAATTTCAACACCCTGTATTTTGGAAACGACGCACTTCCGACCATCTGAAACTACTTCTCTATGGTTCCTTTATATACATTTTTGACCAATTTAACGGGGACACCCTGTATATACATTATCTTCCAAAACAGTTGTTATAGCACAATGATTAACCTGTGTGACGGTAACTGATGCGCATAACGCTTCGATAATATAAAAACATATGTTAGTCCGTTCCAGTATTAGTCATATGATTATGGATCAATATACATATAAATTAATTGTTATTGTTTAGATTCAATTAGTGTCAATAATCAAAATACCTGGCGCCTAAAACTATGCTATCAATATATTTTTTTTTATGTAACAAGACAATAGCGTCATATCTATAGTTAAGACAAATTTTATGTATCCAATGTATTAGCACATTGATTTTTCTGATAAATTTTACGCAATACTGAAACAAATTCAATCCAATATAATTGCATGTTCTAAATGAACAATTATTATTGATTGATCCTTGTATTCAACAATATTTACAAATTAAAACTTACATTCCAATTAATTATTATTGATCCAACCCACTGGTGCACACACAGACAATTATACACGCACTGAATTAACTTAGGGAGCCACTACCCACGTTATATTCATAATAGGGTTCCAGACTAATAAGTACATTCATAATTATCATGCTCGTTTTCGAAATAAATACAAAAAAAATTAATTGTACTAATTAAGCAGTAACAAATTTCTCTTTATGCTAAATATAATTCAGTGGTGCTTTTATTAGCACTTTTGTGCGTCATATTGGAAATAATTCTGGAAATATTCCAAAGAAAAAAATCTGTATAAAAGTACCTACCTTTCAAGAAAAAATCTATAATTATTGATTTAAAATCACTAAAACACATTGTAAAGTCACTTAACACACTGATTTTATTTTATTTTTTTACTGTTATGTATTATCAAAAGTAGGTACTTGTTCCGTTTAGCAGATAACTAAATTGATTTAATAAGGAGAAACTACTAAGTACTATCAAATTTTAAGTGCTATGCTATTGTTATTTACAGAATTTCATTTCACGAGATAAACCAGAAACATAATTAAAATCAAAACAAATAATACAATAAAATCAGCAAACATAATAAAACCAAAATCTACATACCTTTATAGTTACTTAAATAATTTATAATGACTTCAAGATGATTTAGCAAAAGCTCGTCTGATAAAATTTAATTTATAATCGACGTAGGTATAAATTCAGTCCGCGTCCAAGTTTGCCTGAAACGAATCTGGCTGAAAATACGAAAAAAAAAAAAAAAATTATCAGGTCTTTCAGCTTAGTATTTTTACCTTCTCCACAGTGGTACGGAGTAACGACTGCCAATATTTTGCATAGTTCGGTATAATGCGCGAACGCGAAATGGGAATATGCAATAAAGCGCACATCGGTACTATTGGTTTTCTATTGCGGTATATACTATCTATTTTTTTTCGCAATAATTTTGTTGATAAAAGTATTTTGCCACAGAAATTCGTATTGTAAAACGAAACTGATGTTTATCAAATAAGCTTTGCAAATATTGCTTTTAGCATTCAAGCCTGTGGTACCTGTTATAAATAAATAATACAGGGCAACAATTCCATATTTATAAACCTAAAAAAAGAAAACAACCGCAAAACTAGTTTGTAAGCTTTCTTGTACTTTTTTTATTAGTACCACTTGTAACAGCAACGCCATCTCTTATAAAGATTGTCCAACTTATGGCAGTACCATGTGTTCCACATTTAAACGAAATTCCCTAGATGTCGCACATAGTCTTTCAGATTTCGAATTTTTTTTTTGGTACCAAAATCTCAAAGTACACGCTCGTTATCAATCAACATTCATCATTGATGATGATGTCCCTCTAAAAACCTAAATGCATTGTTTACAATACCGGGATCATAGGTCGCATTGATAAGACATCCACAAATAAGCTGTAGGCTGGTAGCTGCCCAATTGCAATCGAAGTTTTTGTTATTATTGAAAATATTTTATTAGGCAGTCATTCTTGAAGACAATGATCGTTAATATTAAGTTTTATTAGTAGTGAAAAAATGTTGGACTTTTTTGTGACTTTATCCTTGTTTAATTTAACTCTAGTTTGCATACCAGTGTTGGTACTAAGTTTCTTTGGTAAGTAATAATCCTGCAACCAAACTCCTTCTAGTAGTGATAATAATTTCAGGCCTAAAGCTTCTCCAATCCATATGGATAAGCTGCATATCGCTCCTCCATCCTGATGTCGAATTCATCAATTACTCAACAATAAGGACTTTGTTGGACACTCACAGAAATCAAGGCATCATATCGGTTCTTTTATCGGTTAGAGGCAAAGAGAATCCGGAAGCTATCAAAAGACACTTGCAGGAACTGGTTAGGAGACGAGACAAGGCCGGAAATTTGGCTTTTCCTCGATTGCAACAACGTTTGACTACAAGATGTGGTACTTATGCTTGGCAAAGGACCAAATTCGATTTGGAACAGCAAGTTAGTTTGGCCAAGTTTACTTACAAGGGACGAGCTGTCACTGAATTCAATATACAGGTAATTTTGTGTTGATTTTTATTTTGATTTTTCTCAATTTTAACTTCATCAGTTGGTTAAAAATGCCCAAAGGCAACTTCAACATCATTTCCAAATGATCAATTTAAACACGAGAAAAAATCTCAGTTTTGGTTTTGTTTTGAGGAAATTGATTCTGACTTCGTTGGATTTTCTAAATTATTCTCCATAATTCCTTGGAGAAATCCTAACAATTAACAGTTTTTGAATTAATCAGTGAAAAAGGCACTCAGACAATTGATAAATTTATCCCAACTTGCTTATCGCGATTTTATTTCTGGAAATATGAGCCGAAATGAGCTGAAAGTTTCAGAGATTGTAGTCCTCTAATGGGAGAAGAATCGCTGAAAATTTCAGCTTTCTATCTTCAATAGAGAAAAAGTTATGACCGTTCAAAGTTTTCCAAAATCATAAGGCCCTTCTTACTAAATGGATGAAATTTCAATTTTTTTGTTGTTGAAATTTTGTGTCCTAATGGTCATTTGGGTCCCCCAAACTCCATATACTAAATTATTCTCAGATTTGAAGCCGAAATCTATGAAAAAAAGGCACTCAGAAAAATTGAAAAATTGATAAATCACCCCAAATTGCTTAACACGATTTTATCTCAGGAACTATTTGTCCAAATGAGTTGAAATTTTCAGGAATCGTAGTCCTCTACTGGAATAAGAATCGCTGGAAATTTCAGCTTTATATCTTTAATAGGAAAAAAGTTATGACCTTCCAAAGTTTTTCAAAATCTAAATCATAAGGTAGGCACCTTCTTACTAAATGCATGAAATTTCAATTTTTTTTTTGTTGAGATTTTGTGTCCTAATGGTCATTTGGGATCTCCCAAACTCCATATAATGAATTATTCTCAGATTTGAAGCCAAAATCTATGAAAAAAGGCACTCAGAAAAATTGAAAAATTGATAAATCACCCCAAATTGCTTAACACAATTTTATCTCAGGAACTATAAGTCCAAATGAGTTGAAATTTTCAGGAATCGTAGTCCTCTACTGGAATAAGAATCGCTGGAAATTTCAGCTTTATATCTTTAATAGAAAAAAAGTTATGACCTTCCAAAGTTTTTCAAAATTTAAATCATAAGATAGGTACCTTCTTACTAAATGCATGAAATTTCAATTTTTTTTTTGTTGAGATTTTGTGTCCTAATGGTCATTTGGGATCCCCCAAACTCCATATACTAAATTATTCTCAGATTTGAAGCCGAAATCTATGAAAAAAGGCACTCAGAAAAATTGAAAAATTGATAAATCACCCCAAATTGCTTAACACGATTTTATCTCAGGAACTATTTGTCCAAATGAGTTGAAATTTTCAGGGATTGTAGTCCTCTACTGGAATAAGAATCGCTGAAAATTTCAGCTTTATATCTTCGATAGAAAAAAAGTTATGACCTTCCAAAGTTTTTCAAAATTTAAATCATAAGGTAGGTACCTTCTTACTAAATGCATGAAATTTCAATTTTTTTTTTTGTTGAGATTTTGTGTCCTAATGGTCATTTGGGATCCCCCAAACTCCATATACTAAATTATTCTCAGATTTGAAGCCGAAATCTATGAAAAAAGGCACTCAGAAAAATTGAAAAATTGATAAATCACCCCAAATTGCTTAACACGATTTTATCTCAGGAACTATTTGTCCAAATGAGTTGAAATTTTCAGAAATCGTAGTCCTCTACTGGAATAAGAATCGCTGGAAATTTCAGCTTTATATCTTTAATAGAAAAAAAGTTATGACCTTCCAAAGTTTTTCAAAATCTAAATCATAAGGTAAGGTACCTTCTTACTAAATGCATGAAATTTCAATTTTTTTTTTGTTGAGATTTTGTGTCCTAATGGTCATTTGGGATCTCCCAAACTCCATATAATGAATTATTCTCAGATTTGAAGCCAAAATCTATGAAAAAAGGCACTCAGAAAAATTGAAAAATTGATAAATCACCCCAAATTGCTTAACACAATTTTATCTCAGGAACTATAAGTCCAAAGGAGTTGAAATTTTCAGGAATCGTAGTCCTCTACTGGAATAAGAATCGCTGGAAATTTCAGCTTTATATCTTTAATAGAAAAAAAGTTATGACCTTCCAAAGTTTTTCAAAATCTAAATCATAAGGTAGGTACCTTCTTACTAAATGCATGAAATTTCAATTTTTTTTTTGTTGAGATTTTGTGTCCTAATGGTCATTTGGGATCTCCCAAACTCCATATAATGAATTATTCTCAGATTTGAAGCCAAAATCTATGAAAAAAGGCACTCAGAAAAATTGAAAAATTGATAAATCACCCCAAATTGCTTAACACAATTTTATCTCAGGAACTATAAGTCCAAATGAGTTGAAATTTTCAGGAATCGTAGTCCTCTACTGGAATAAGAATCGCTGGAAATTTCAGCTTTATATCTTTAATACAAAAAAAGTTATAACCTTCCAAAGTTTTTCAAAATCTAAATCATAAGGTAGGCACCTTCTTACTAAATGCATGAAATTTCAATTTTTTTTTTTGTTGAGATTTTGTGTCCTAATGGTCATTTGGGATCCCCCAAACTCCATATACTAAATTATTCTCAGATTTGAAGCCGAAATCTATGAAAAAAGGCACTCAGAAAAATTGAAAAATTGATAAATCACCCCAAATTGCTTAACACGATTTTATCTCAGGAACTATTTGTCCAAATGAGTTGAAATTTTCAGAAATCGTAGTCCTCTACTGGAATAAGAATCGCTGGAAATTTCAGCTTTATATCTTTAATAGAAAAAAAGTTATGACCTTCCAAAGTTTTTCAAAATCTAAATCATAAGGTAAGGTACCTTCTTACTAAATGCATGAAATTTCAATTTTTTTTTTGTTGAGATTTTGTGTCCTAATGGTCATTTGGGATCTCCCAAACTCCATATAATGAATTATTCTCAGATTTGAAGCCAAAATCTATGAAAAAAGGCACTCAGAAAAATTGAAAAATTGATAAATCACCCCAAATTGCTTAACACAATTTTATCTCAGGAACTATAAGTCCAAAGGAGTTGAAATTTTCAGGAATCGTAGTCCTCTACTGGAATAAGAATCGCTGGAAATTTCAGCTTTATATCTTTAATAGAAAAAAAGTTATGACCTTCCAAAGTTTTTCAAAATCTAAATCATAAGGTAGGTACCTTCTTACTAAATGCATGAAATTTCAATTTTTTTGTTGTTGAAATTTTGTGTCCTAATGGTCATTTGGGTCCCCCAAACTCCATATACTAAATTATTCTCAGATTTGAAGCCGAAATCTATGAAAAAAAGGCACTCAGAAAAATTGAAAAATTGATAAATCACCCCAAATTGCTTAACACGATTTTATCTCAGGAACTATTTGTCCAAATGAGTTGAAATTTTCAGGAATCGTAGTCCTCTACTGGAATAAGAATCGCTGGAAATTTCAGCTTTATATCTTTAATAGGAAAAAAGTTATGACCTTCCAAAGTTTTTCAAAATCTAAATCATAAGGTAGGCACCTTCTTACTAAATGCATGAAATTTCAATTTTTTTTTTGTTGAGATTTTGTGTCCTAATGGTCATTTGGGATCTCCCAAACTCCATATAATGAATTATTCTCAGATTTGAAGCCAAAATCTATGAAAAAAGGCACTCAGAAAAATTGAAAAATTGATAAATCACCCCAAATTGCTTAACACAATTTTATCTCAGGAACTATAAGTCCAAATGAGTTGAAATTTTCAGGAATCGTAGTCCTCTACTGGAATAAGAATCGCTGGAAATTTCAGCTTTATATCTTTAATAGAAAAAAAGTTATGACCTTCCAAAGTTTTTCAAAATTTAAATCATAAGATAGGTACCTTCTTACTAAATGCATGAAATTTCAATTTTTTTTTTGTTGAGATTTTGTGTCCTAATGGTCATTTGGGATCCCCCAAACTCCATATACTAAATTATTCTCAGATTTGAAGCCGAAATCTATGAAAAAAGGCACTCAGAAAAATTGAAAAATTGATAAATCACCCCAAATTGCTTAACACGATTTTATCTCAGGAACTATTTGTCCAAATGAGTTGAAATTTTCAGGGATTGTAGTCCTCTACTGGAATAAGAATCGCTGAAAATTTCAGCTTTATATCTTCGATAGAAAAAAAGTTATGACCTTCCAAAGTTTTTCAAAATTTAAATCATAAGGTAGGTACCTTCTTACTAAATGCATGAAATTTCAATTTTTTTTTTTGTTGAGATTTTGTGTCCTAATGGTCATTTGGGATCCCCCAAACTCCATATACTAAATTATTCTCAGATTTGAAGCCGAAATCTATGAAAAAAGGCACTCAGAAAAATTGAAAAATTGATAAATCACCCCAAATTGCTTAACACGATTTTATCTCAGGAACTATTTGTCCAAATGAGTTGAAATTTTCAGAAATCGTAGTCCTCTACTGGAATAAGAATCGCTGGAAATTTCAGCTTTATATCTTTAATAGAAAAAAAGTTATGACCTTCCAAAGTTTTTCAAAATCTAAATCATAAGGTAAGGTACCTTCTTACTAAATGCATGAAATTTCAATTTTTTTTTTGTTGAGATTTTGTGTCCTAATGGTCATTTGGGATCTCCCAAACTCCATATAATGAATTATTCTCAGATTTGAAGCCAAAATCTATGAAAAAAGGCACTCAGAAAAATTGAAAAATTGATAAATCACCCCAAATTGCTTAACACAATTTTATCTCAGGAACTATAAGTCCAAAGGAGTTGAAATTTTCAGGAATCGTAGTCCTCTACTGGAATAAGAATCGCTGGAAATTTCAGCTTTATATCTTTAATAGAAAAAAAGTTATGACCTTCCAAAGTTTTTCAAAATCTAAATCATAAGGTAGGTACCTTCTTACTAAATGCATGAAATTTCAATTTTTTTTTTGTTGAGATTTTGTGTCCTAATGGTCATTTGGGATCCCCCAAACTACATATACTGAATTATTCTCAGATTTGAAGCCAAAATCTATGAAAAAAGGCACTCAGAAAAATTGAAAAATTGATAAATCACCCCAAATTGCTTAACACAATTTTATCTCAGGAACTATAAGTCCAAATGAGTTGAAATTTTCAGGAATCGTAGTCCTCTACTGGAATAAGAATCGCTGGAAATTTCAGCTTTATATCTTTAATAGAAAAAAAGTTATGACCTTCCAAAGTTTTTCAAAATCTAAATCATAAGGTAGGTACCTTCTTACTAAATGCATGAAATTTCAATTTTTTTTTTGTTGAGATTTTGTGTCCTAATGGTCATTTGGGATCCCCCAAACTACATATACTGAATTATTCTCAGATTTGAAGCCGAAATTTATGAAAAAAGGCACTCAGAAAAATTGAAAAATTGATAAATCACCACAAATTGCTTAACACAATTTTATCTCAGGAACTTTAAGTCCAAATGAGTTGAAATTTTCAGGAATCGTAGTCCTCTACTGGAATAAGAATCGCTGGAAATTTCAGCTTTATATCTTTAATACAAAAAAAGTTATAACCTTCCAAAGTTTTTCAAAATCTAAATCATAAGGTAGGCACCTTCTTACTAAATGCATGAAATTTCAATTTTTTTTTTGTTGAGATTTTGTGTCCTAATGGTCATTTGGGATCTCCCAAACTCCATATACTGAATTATTCTCAGATTTGAAGCCGAAATTTATGAAAAAAGGCACTCAGAAAAATTGAAAAATTGATAAATCACCACAAATTGCTTAACACGATTTTATCTCAGGAACTATTTGTCCAAATGAGTTGAAATTTTCAGGGATTGTAGTCCTCTACTGGAATAAGGACTTTAATAGGAATATAACCTTTCAAATTCCATGTTTATTTTTCAGGAATATGTTTGTGAAATTATATCCAAATATTTACCTACCGACACATCACCATGGCAAGTCATCATAATTCCAACCTCTGAAGATAATCACTACATCCTCTACAAAATCCACCACATCCTCCTCAGCGAAGGAGTAAACGTTGGTGATTTACTACCTTTGATACCACCCACTAGACAATCACCGGGGTAAGTAAACTTAACCAAAACACACCCGTTTATTAATATTTTATCTCAAATTAGAACCAACCCATCAAAAAGCCCAATAGTAGACGTACTGCACAAACCTATAGCCATAGCCACGTTGAAGGACAAAATCACAGATGAAATTTCCAACTTTTGGAACGAGTTTATCAGCAGTTACGAGCCTCTGGAAAAACCAGAGCTTCTCAAAGATACTCCTACGATAACTCAATTTTTAGCGATAACTGTCATAACGATTATTTCAACTGTAAAGGAATGTAGAAGAGGATTTCGCGTTATTAAGCCTGACTTAATTTCGAAATTTCGTTATTGCTGGATGACAGCTTGCAACGAAAAAAATAAACGTCACGTATCTCTAGTACACTTTTTTTGGTCTATAATAAAATCACTTAGTCCAAAAAACCTTATGGTTGTACTATTTCAAAATTTCTGGCTGATATGTGTATCAATCCCTATACGTTTACCTATAATGCTTTATGCAGAATCTGTAGCCCTCTATTCGTGTATAACATTAAAATATTGCCCATATCCTCACACTATCATAGGCCTTTTATACTATTACATTCCTTTAGTCTACAGCTCCTTAAAAGAAATCTTAGATATGGTAAAAATTATTTTTATGGCTCCAAGAACTATCATCCAAGACATTTTACTTCAAGAAGAATCACTACAAACAGTTACTTTATGTGGTCGCAAAGCTGTAGCCTGGAGCGATCCTGTTAAAATGGATTTAGTCAAAACAACAGCCAGAAAATTAGGTGTGTCCGAAACAGAAGTGGCTTTGTCAGCCTGCGCCATGGGAATTTCAAAATATTTCGTACAAATTAACGACACCATACCCAGTGAATTGCCTATAACAATGAGAAACATCAACTCCCAATATCTTTTTGCTACAGGAGCAAATATCCGTCCAGCAGATTCAGTTAGCGGAATAATATGCCTTAATTTACCTATAGTAGATCCACAATCGGACAAAACTCAATTAGACAACTTGAAAGAGTTAGAAGTTAAATTTAGGACTACAATAGAGCGTCAAGGATTGTCACATCTTTTGACTCTATTACAAACCAAGTTTGGAATTTGTACTAAATTTTTACCTTCGATGCTTTTAAGCGTTTATTTGAAGTTTTTGTCTAGGAAATACGCTGTTACAGTGACAGAGGTTTCAAATAGGTATCCAAACGTTACTCAGAGGACTTTGTGGGGCCAGGAAGTTGTCAGTGCTATTTATTGGAGACCACCACAAGCAAATACTAGTGAGTAATGATGGTTTATTTTGTGTGAGTTTAATTATACATAATTTTTTCTAGGCATTTCCCTTTGTATTAACGAGTATGCAGACCATATTAGATTAGGAGTCATGTGCGATGCTCAGCTAGTGCCGCACCATCCGGTTTTGGTTCGAGGATTCCCGGAGTTTGTTAAGGATTTGGCCGAGACAGTTGCTACAGCTTCTTGTTAATTTAATTTTGACTTGTTTTGTGTATACTTAAATAAATTAGGGAATCTCGAAATTGTGAATTGGTTTTATTGCGTGTCCACTTGTCCATTTGGCAACTGAATTTAAACTATAGGGCGAATCATGAATAATTATTTTGTCCACCCAGTATAAGTTTTATATTATGTACATGGTTTTTCTAAATTAAAAATAATAAAATATCTATTACTTTAGTAATAATAATTACAAAACATCATGTTGGTCGATGCCTGGCGATGAGTAATCGCCTGCGGACTCAGTCAGTGATGAATGATCAAGGAAACTGATGATGTCCTTCTATGCAGTGCGACTGTAGAGATTGTTATTAATTAGTTGTTATGTTAAAGTTGGTGTTGGTGATAATAAACAGTTTAGAATTGTATTTTATTTGTGTGTATTGGGGTAGCACAATATTTATACAAGGTGATAACTTGTAAATAATTTTAATTATCAAATAGTTTTAGAAATAATAACTTTTCATAAACAAACGTGATTTAATGAGTAATGGGATAATTATTCATTCCTATACCTAGTTTCCATACAAATCTTATGACTAAAGCAGGAATATTTTTTTTGTGCGTGAATCTTATCAGTGCTCCCAGGGTCAACATCCGAGTTATGGTATTTTTATCAACGACAAGTCTTATGATTTTTCCACATTGTGTTTCCTCAAGTAAAACCTAAAGTTTGAGGGTGTCTCAGGAAAGCTTGAAGAAAATCGAAATTAAAAATAATCTCACTGATTGCTCGAGTGCATTGTATGTAAAGGTGAGATTAGAATATGGATTAGTTAAATTATTTAATGATGTTTTGTACTTTGCTGTGGGCGTGCCAGGGAATAAAGGAAGGATTTAATCAAAATATCGTGGAAATTGATAACTCCTAATAGGACACCCCAGTCTCATTCTAATGAACCCCCTTTTCATTCCATAAGCAATTATATTATGACAAAAAGTATGAAGCATTTCCAAGTGTATATGCCTGATTTTGTCAAGTTTGGACTGTAATAATTATGTTTTTGAAATCTCATATTTGCGCCTCAAGTCGTTTTTGAAAACCTCGTAACTTTGCAATTTTTCATTTAATTAATTTGAATTTTTAGTATGTTTTGCTTCTAAGCCTCAAAAATATTCCCTCAAAGTCTTATATTTCCATCTCAAGTAGTTTTTGAATAAATGGTCAAAATGTAGAGGCATGTCATATTTAGTCTTATAGAAGTAAATGTCCATTTTTAAAAACCTTGTAACTTTGCAATTTTTCATTCAATTAATTTGAATTTTTAGTATGTTTTGCCTCTATATCCCCTCGAAATCTTAAATAGAAATTTGATCGTATGAAAACCCCTTTGATCCGGTTCTGTTCCACTACATTATCCCTTTTCTATAAACTCCGCGCATTCCTTACGACTACCCCCAATCGATTTTCACATCCTCCTTGCAAATACACCACAACCAGTTGTTTTTTGTTATTCCTGACTTTTCCTTGGATATTGTCGCATATCAATTCATACACTAAAATGTTAAATATAAGAAGCTTTTTAAATCACGGTTTTTCGTTAATTGCATTAATATTTCAGTAGAGGGGTTGTAATGTGAACTATTGAGCTGGATAAGGTGTAATATTAAACTATAATAAAGGTTAGTAGGTTTTGTTTATGTACATAGAATGTTTGAACACAAAATTCCTTATTTTCAGACAATGTAAACATCAAAATGTTGCTGCTCAGAAATTTCCGCTTAACTCAGCTTAGAAAAAAGCAATTGCTCAGTCTAATATTTCTCACTAGTCTATTTACAATAATAATTCTAACGATACATATCCCGGGACATATCCCTATTCCTGGCTTTGTAATGAAAGTATATTATTGGGCCAAACCCGAAAAAGGCGTTTTTTGCCACTATATCGAATCAAAAGATTCATTACCCGATATATCAGATGCCAGTATAAAAGAAGGCCAAGCAATATTTTTCCATGAAACAAGTTGCAGCTCGTATATGAAAGGAAAAATCAGTGTTACCGCTAGACAAGCTTGTGCAGTTGAAAGCACTGCCAGGATGAATCCAGACAGGGAAATTTACCTTTTGTATGCTTCACCTGGAAATTATATATTTGAAAATACCGAAAGCGATAGATTTTTGAAGGAACTAATGGAATATCCAAATATTAACATTTATCATGTGGATATGAATAGGTATTTAAAAGGATCTCCTGTGGAAGATTTATGGAAAAAGGAAAAAATGAGGTATTCACAATACGCTCAATCTCACACAAGTGACGTTCTTAGGTAATTTTGAGTAGGTAAAGCCACTTTCAATTCAATTTGCATATTTTTTTTACTTTTTTTTTAAGGTTTCTAACACTGTGGAAATATGGAGGAATCTACTTGGATCTAGACGTCATAATAACAAAAAATCTGGACGATTTAGGAACCGATTTTTCCGGAGTAGAATCGGCCACATCAGTAGCTGCTGGGATTTTGGGATTCAACGCAACAGGAAAAGGACATGATTATGTTACTTCTTGTTTGCAAGATCTTCAAAATACTTTCAAAGGACATGATTGGGGGTGGAATGGTCCTGGAACTATAACAAGGTGAGGATATTATCAAAATAATTTCCCACAAATCTGACAAAATAAAGGGGTTTCAGTAGGATATTAGTGGAATGTTGAAAAATGACAATTTCTGTTTTTGGTTTTAGATTGCTCAAAAAACTCTGTGGCGTTACAAAAGTGAACGACATGGTGGGCAAAACGTGCCAGGGTTTCAAAATTTATCCACCAGATGAATTCTACGCAATCCCTTACTGGAACTGGAAATTATTTTTCGAGCCTGAAGCTTTGGACTCAGTAATGGAGCTGACTAACTCGAGCCATTTAATTCACGTTTGGAACAAATTCAGTATTACTACGAAAATTCCGCTCAATGTTAAAGGCGTGCCCTATTTAGAGCAAGCCAAACAGTATTGTCCTCATATCATTAGACAATGTGATAAATATTTTTAGGATAATGAGAAAACTTTTTATTTAAATCTAGTGCTGAATAAATGCGTATACTTAACAAGTTTATTTGTTTCAAAATTTCTATTTTCTTATCACAAAATATAAAGGATACTGGGATACAGATAGATATTTCACAGGATCTCCAATGGAAAAGGAAGAAAATTAGGAATTCGCATAATTCAAGTCTCCACTAGTTTTAAGTTACTTTATATCGACAGGCATATCAATATTGCCAAGATAAAAATGATGGTAATCAGGTACCAGTGAAATATTTCTCTCCTCATTAAACAAGAAATTTTTCTAAATAAAAAGTGGGAATGTAATCCAGATGTGAGAGGAAAAATTGGCAGTATGAAGGCAACCTTCTTTGATCTAAAAATTTCTAGCTGGAGACAACTATGGAAGTGTGAAGAAGGCATAAAATATAATAAAATTATTGATTTATTCATGACAACCACCTAACAACATAATAGTTCCTTTTACCTACCCTAAGAAGCGATATATTATTTTTTAATACATGCGCATTAATATTAACAACTTCACTAGGATTTTTCGCCCTCTTTTGATTCACCCAAAAACCTCCAGCTGCAATAATTCTCAATGCATCCTCTAAAATAAGTTTCCAAAATAAAAACTCGTAATAGGATTGATTAAACTTACGTTGTGTGGGAAAACAGCCAGCTTTCATGGACAAATCCAAAACACTTTGGCCGGCTTCTGGTAATACCTCCACCACTGTTGCCCCCTCAAATAGTTGCACTACATCTGATATATTCATATTACCTAAAGCTTCCACGTTGCCTTTATACAAAGCTTCAGAGGCTTTTTGGGCTTTTTTAAGACCCTCTGGTCCATGAACCAACGTTGTTACCTAATAATAATTTAAAACAATTATAATTACAAATAAAGTAATAAAAAAATTATTACTTGTTCAGCTAAAGTTTCATGTGGCAATCGAAGTTCAGGTTTCTCCTTGTGCCTGCGCATGAGATCAGAAATGCCACCGACAGTTTCAAAAGTGAAAAGTTTCAAAAGTTTTTCCACTTCCGAGTCGGCTTGTCGCACCCAAAATTGGTAAAGTGAAAATGGGGATGTTTTCTCTGCAGACAACCAAACAGCATTGCCTGCTGATTTGCCAAATTTATCACCCATTTCTGTTGTGACTAGAGGCAATGTTAGGCCGTATACTTGTTTATTGTATACTTTGCTTATTAATTCGTGGCCGGACATTAAATTACCCATTTGGTCATTACCACCTATCTAGAATTGATAGACACTTTTTAAAAGAATATATGTAAAAAATCTAGGCGTTTATATACAAGGAAAATCAAGAACTCTGTTAGATTGACGAAATTTTGTATAGATATTAGAGATAAGTATGTATAGTGTAATGAAGCAAATTTAAGGATTCATGGAAAGACATTGAGATAAAATATTTTTGATTTTTAATTGTTTAAGATAACAAATCTTAGATCTGGCATACCACTGTGACTTTTTAGGCCTACCATATAAAATTCTTGTCTCTGAATTAGGTACATCATAATTCTTCTGTAGTTTAACCATAGTTGCTTGGTATATTGGTGGTAATAGAGTAATGAGACAACTGAGCAAAAAAAATTACATTTTTCACTCACAGCTTTTCAAAGGTTAATTATTCTTTAGTTCCAAGCATTTTCCTTGTTTATAAATATGAACACCTCTCAAGTGAAATCAATTATTACCTGGAACATACACCCATAATTTTTGAACAAATACAACCAATCATATGCTTGAAATAATTGATAACTAAACTCAGTGAAACTCATTCCTTGTGTTGAGTTCAACCGACTATGCACACTGTGCCTTGACAGTAATGTTCCCATACGTAAATGCCTGCCTATTTTACCAATCAATTCTACTGCTGATATTTGATTGTACCATTCATCATTATTAACTATTCTAAAAAAAATCATAGTTAATAAAAATATTAAGTTTTGCTGTTGTCAACCCACTTGAGTGGTTTAAGGGGGTCTTTATCTTTCCAGAAATACTTTGCATGGTTTTCAAATATTGTAGTGATATCGTTTTTGATGCCTTTTACGTTGGTGTCTATGAAATTTTTCTGTAGCTCCTCCCTCTCAGTGTTACGACCGCTGGGGTCTCCAATTTTAGCTGTGGCACCTCCTAACTAAACAACAGAGAATTTAATAGTTGCTGAGGTTGTGCTCATTTTATTAGTTTATGAACAACGAGGCATCAAATTTGTATATTATTGTTCTACAGTAAAATTTTTAAGGTCCTGCGCAAGTTCTGTAGGTCCTGTACAAGTTTTGCAAAAGTCCTGTAGGTCCACATAATATAAATTTGTGCATAGAATCTGAAATTCGTATACGGAGTGCTTTTGAAACCGTTTATGGGTTAGTTTTTGACTTATTAGAGCAAACCTACCTAATAAAATTGACTTTTGTTCCAGTTTTTTCAGTACAACTGAATTCAAACAAAGAAAGAAACAAATAAAAATGATATTCACAGATAGTTTAAAAATTTTAATGGAATTTGGAACTTGGTTGGGTTGATAATAAGAAAAATCATGAATTCCTCGATGAATTCTTAAGTTATTCGATTCAAATAAATAATCAAGGGGCCTAGGAATTCTTTGCCAAAGCCGTGGAGAATTTAGAAGAATTTGTGCGGAATTTAGAGAAAAAAGACTTGCAAATAACTTTGAGGGTGGTTTAAGGGGGTATTGCGATTCATCGAAAAAGGGGTTTTTGTGAAAATATGGACATTTCCACCGTAGTCTCGAGTACAAATGGTACTGGAAGTTATAGGCAGTACTAATATACACCGTTAAGGGTACCGAAAAAGACTTCCAAATAACTTTGAAGGTGGTTTAAGGGGGTGAAACTAGTAATTGCGATTCAACGAAAAAAATATGGACATTTCCACCCTAGTCTCGGGCACAAATGGTACTGGAAGCTATAAGCAATACTAATATACACCATTAAGGGTACCTAAAAAGACTTGCAAATAACTTTGAAGGTGGTTTATGCAAGGGTTTAAGGGGGTGAAATTAGTAATTTGCGATATAACAGAAAAAGGTTTTTCTTTGTGAAAATATGGACATTTTTACCCTAGTCTCAGGTACAAACGGTACTGGAAGTTATAGGCAGTACCAAGATACACCGTTTAGGTTACCTAAAAAGAATTTCAAATAACTTTGAGGGTGGTTTAAGAGGGTAAAACCTCGGGTAAAACTAATAATTGCGATTCAACGAAAAAGGGGTTTTTGTGAAAATATGGACCTTTCCACCCTAGTCTCGGGCACAAATGGTACTGGAAGTTATAGGCAGTACCCTCGGCAGTACTAATATACACGGTTTAGGTTACCTAAAAAGACTTGCAAATAATTTCAAGTAATGGAAACACAGCTTGGGTTCCAGTTGCCCCAGTAAAAATATGTACATACAGAGGCAACTGGAACATATATGATGTGGCCAACTAGAACATGTTCCACCTGAAATTATCATTGTATTGTATATATTCTCGTTTCTTCTAGAGCAAATATGCGGACAGAAATAATATCTGTAGAACCTCCAAATGTGCGGTCGATGGAAGATACACGAAGTTGGCCCTGAAAAAACCAATTGAAGATGTCCAAAATGCTAAGAGAACAATATATGGCACAATAAGACTCTTTGTATTTGGAACAAGAGGGAAAGGTATATTGTTGGTAGCAGGATAAGGTGGTGGAGAAATATATAAATGAAGTAGAAGAAGAATTGTCCACTGTGCTGAACACCAGCAGAAATGGAGATATGGATTGCTTACAAAGAAAATAGGTTTCTTATTTCATATTTTGTTCATTGTACCATTTTTATTAAACACTATTTTCTCACCACTAAGCAATACTTTTGTTGCATCTCCCATATTTCTTGAGCAAAATAATATGTTCCAGTCGCCTCAGAATTATTACTATATGAATGCATAAGGAAATAGTAGTCACTGTTTCAGTTGCCTCAAAATTAGAGTAAGTAACTGGAACAGTTGACCAAAAAAAATTAAGCTCTTAACCAGAACAAAGTGGAAGACTGAACCAGAACGAACATGCACCCAATTCTTGAGATTTTAATGAAAGGGCCCAAAAATACGTTAAAACTTGGGCTGGAAGTTATAGAAATTTACAAGTACTTCCATGTATTTCCAAATTATTCCCATGTGCTTCCAGCATATTTCCATATACTTCCAGAGTATTTCCAAGGATTTCCAAGTATTCCTAAGTATTTTCACAGTATTACCAAGTATTCCTAGGTATTCCCAAAATATTCCCAGTAAAGCGTATGGTGATTTCCATAAGAGATTTTTTACCCCTCAGGTTAAAACTACTTAATACTTGGGGATTTTTATAGAATTTTTAACAGGCATTTGCAGGGAGTTTGCTAAGCAGTTTGGAGGAATTTACAGGGAATTTGGAGGAATTTGTTGGGAATTTGCAGGTAGTTTGAGGAATTGTTTGCATAAATTCAGAGGGGTGGTTTGGTTTACCCCTTGTAAATAATACACAAAAACTAAGCACAAAAACCACAAAAATAAATAAATACTGCAGTAAAACCGATTTGGTTGGGCTAGCAACATATCCAGAGAGCCAAGCAGAAATATTCTTTTTCTTTGCATAAAGCATAACCCAAGTCCTGTTGAAGTACTTTATAGTCCTGTTAAAGTACTCTATAGTCCTGTACAGTAGTGCATAGTCCTGTAGGGTACTGTTGAAGTCCTGCAGACACTTAGAAACCCCTTGGTTCTGAACTACTTACCAATGCAATTGGTTGATGACCAGCTCTTTGCCAATGCAATAAATTGACTAAAACCAAAAGATTTCCGACGTGCAGGCTGTCAGCAGTGGGGTCGAAGCCTGCATAAACTGTTTGAGGACCGGCGTTGAGTATATCAGTAACGGAATTTCTATTTTTTAAGAGATTTTTGGTAAAAATATAACCTCACTATTTGGAAATTACTTACGCGGCGTTATCGGGGAATATATCTTGGATCATTGCGCGTTCTCTTAGCTTTAAAATATTTCTGTTGGAGTAATTTCGGTGGAAGGGAGTGCATTTTTGGGTTTTTAAAAGTTTTCTAAACATCTTTCTTTTTGGGGTTAGGATTCTTGTTTTGTTTAGCTAGCTGGCTGTTTTTAAGAAGAGGGCTTATCAATGCTTATCGATACGATATATACAACGATACACCCAGTGAATATCGATACGAATTTGTCATATCGATAAGGATCTTGCAAAATTGAAACCATTTATCAGGCGTTTTCTCGCGGGGCGAATGGTTCGAACCACGGTTTAAACCAATTTATAGATGACGTCATCACTTGTGAACGCGAGAAAATGGAAAGTTTAAACCAGGGACCCGGACCGAAATGAAATATCGGTTCCGTTCCGGTTCCGGTCCACAGTGTCATGACAAGGGATGTTCCGAGAAAATTTGTAAATGTGCATTTGACAGTATAAAAAGCGGGCATATGGCATATCTGAGAAAAAAATGTGCATTCCCCTAGTTTTAGGCGGTTACACACGGACGTGGATGTCTGAAAATACAGTGGCTAAATAACATACAGTGGCGACAATAGAGGTCCCGCCGCCATTTTGTTCCCAACCTCTTGTTACTTTTAAATATTAATATATGGAATTTAAATGGACATCTATCATAAAAAATTGAAATCGACGTATTTGATGATTATTATTAGGTCCATCAAATACGTTGCTTTCCATGTTTTATGATGGATGTTCACCCATATCCCATATATTCATATTTGAAATAAACAATGGCTGGGAACAAGATGGCCGCGTTTTCAATATAAATATATGGGATTTTAGAACCAATCAAAAATAAGACAGCAATTGTCGCCACTGTAGGTAATAGAGTCACTGTATCTGAAAACATGTACGCACACACATAAACGCGCAAACAAAAACATTAGTGTGTATGCAAAATACCGTTACGTTTTTGAATGTGCAATCGCTAGAAATTTTGTATGCACACTCCGAACACTGTAGCCAGAATAGCAAGATTACAGTTTTGATAGTTTTGTGCGAGCGTCTGTACAAAGGCGTCATGCACGTTTTTGTTTGCACGTTGATGTATGCACGTGTATATATCAAGCCATCCACGCGCCGTGTGTAACCGCCTTTTGCTTTCCTAACTTGCCGGTTGCCAATAGCTCTTTTCACGTGGCTCCGGTTTAACTAACCGGGTTACAAAACGGTTAGAGAAATGACATACCGTTTTCTAATCCGGTTACAAAGTGACGTGATGGATACCTACCACTCGAATTTGAGCGGTATGTTGCGGTTTGTTAAACCGGAGCCACGGGAAAAGGGTTATTGTATGTTTATTCTTACAACGTTGCCAATTCCGAATGCCAATATTTTGTATTTTCATTGTCGATTGTCGAGCAGGCTGGACTAGGCTGGGGCCGGCTGGGCAGTGGCGTACCAAGGATGATACACACCTATAGGATTGCTTATCGGCCTCGTTAGCAGTGATGTGCCTGTAGACGTAAACAATAACTTATTTCAAAAAATTCGAAAAAAAATATCAAAAGTTACTATAATATCACTATCACTTCAATATATTAGCATTCACTGATTATAAAATATCAGAAAAACCGATAATAAAATAAAAATAATTTAAAAAAGGAAAGTGTGAGCTTATATAATTAAACGTCATTTATATTATTTTACATTGTTGACCGTTGTCTACATTGTCTACACGTAAAGTAGACAATGAAAGCTACGTGTAGACGTACATCCCTGCTCGTTAGTCGTTTTTGGTGGTGATCGCCGCCATATTGGTGTGTTAGTGTCACCATTTCCGACGTCATAACTAAGTCGTCAGCTGTTTAAACAGCCTACGTCAAGGCGAGAAATAACATGCTGCTAACGTCACAACTGGTGATTTGGCTTGGGGTGGTGAGGGGGGATTTGTTCTACACAGTCCTTATCCTTATGAGGATGGTAGGCCATCCTGTAGTAGTAGTGTGTATTAATGTATCATCCCTGGTGGCGTACAGGTTAGTAGAGTGTACTGAGAGTAGAGTATGGGAGTATGTATAGAGTATAGTGTATATAGTTACACTCAATACAAATTTACTGAAATGAAACCCCAAATTCAGAATATTTTGTGTTCTATTTATTGACTAGAAAATAGTGGTAGATTAATGCCTCATTCTCACTTGCACGAAATTCGCTCTTTTCTGACATTACTTCGACAATTTGACGTTTGATATACGCATAAAACGTCAAATTATCGAAGCAATGTCAAAAAAAGAGCGAATTTCGCGCAAAAAGAGTGAATTTCGCGCAAGTGAGAATGAGGCATTATTCTAGAAATCAAAATGTGCATATCTAGTGATTGATTGGGGTGCATACTGTGCATATAAATTTAAAGTGTGCATCATTATGCACAATTGTGCAGTTTGGAACATCCCTGGTCATGACAAATATCGGTTCTGTTCACTGATCTCAAAAATAAATGGATAAACAAAGAACGCTTCTAATGCTGCTAATTTACGAGGTCAAAATCTAAACAAAAACAACTGACTGGGACAGCTGGGAGCGTGCGCAGTAGATACATGTATTGTGCGTGCACAAAATCTGGCCAATGAAAATGAAGGAATTTCAAAATTTAGAACAGTTGCTCGAAAGATAAAACACTGCGCAGGTGTTAGGCTGTTCCGTTGCACAACTGTTCGTAGAATATTGACCCCAAATTTTCGCACAAATTTTGCCAATCAAGCCGTATGAATTGTTTATCCATTTATTTTTTAGATCAGTGGTGCTGTTACGGTTCTGGTTCTAAGAGAAATATTTCGATTCGGTTCGGACCAATAATTTCGGTTTTAACGGTTCATACCGGTATAGTTTTTCACAAATATCTAACAGAAAAAATTTTAAAATATATTTAGCAAAAAAATTGAAGTATCAGTGATAACGTTGCAACGTGAGGTTTCTCGCCTTGACGTAGGGTGTTTGCACCATAGGCTATGTTTCCGGGGACTTTTGCTTTATGCATACTTGGTTTTAGTACATTAATTAACATCCTATTTCTCTCTCCCTCTCTTTGCCTATTTGCTAATTCAAAATTAAATAATATTTTTCATCATAAATATACAGGGTGTATATTTTAAGTGATACCACTATTGCTATATCCGAAACGGTAAAAGCTACAAGGTCGGTTAAATTTAAAAAAAGTTGCCTTTTTTGATGCCCATTTAAGACTCGTTCACAGTGTTGCCAAATTCTTTTTAGTTTATGAAATACAGGGTTTTTTATGAAAAACGCCTAAAACTATTTAATCAATTATTTCGAAAACTATTGATGTTCGAGACACAATTTAAATTTGAAAGTTTTATAATTTTTTTCGCTCTACAACATGGCATCTTTAAATTTTAAATCCGACGTTTCGTCATCGAGCTACCATCATCAACTTAATTTTTTTAAATACGGACCTGAATTTTTTATATCACTTTTGGAAAGGGAATGAAAGGCGCTTCTTAAAAATGACATAAAAAATTCAGGTCCGTATTTAAAAAAATGGAGTTGATGATGGTAGCTCGATCACGAAACGTCGGATTTAAAATTTGAAGATGCCAAGTTGTAGAGCGGAAAAAATTATAATAGTTTTAAATTGAAATTGTGTCTCGAAAATCAATAGTTTTCGAAATAATTGATGAAATGTTTTTGGGCATCTGTATTTCATAAACTGAAAGGAATTTGGCAACACTGTAAACGAGTCTTAAATGTGCATCAAAAAAGGAAACTTTTTTCTAATTTAACCCACCCTGTAGCTCTTACCGTTTCGTATATAGCAATAGTGGTATCACTTAAAATATACACCCTGTATATTCTTAACTACGACCGCTGGCGCAAACCGCTAACGACACCGTTGATGACGTCGGCAACGGTGCAACACCATATGAACTTGATTCCAAAAATCAAGGCCGATGAGCAATCCTGTTGTAGTGTGTAATGTGTAGTATCCTTGGTGTAGCCTTGCCTAGTTCAGAAATGCGCGCTTTCCAACGCTCTGTTTTTAGAATATTAAATTAATAAATTTTTTACGATACGAACAATCAGCAAACAGCCTAATTTATGAAATCTTGAAACCGAAAAATACCGGTAAAAACCGATTCATTCATATCGGTTCCGGTTCTGTCTACCTTACAACATTTCTATCCGTGCGTTCGTTATTTTGGTCCGAGTTCTCCGAGCTTGACTTTACCGTTCGTTTATTTAAAAAGTGTACTCGGTGCAGCCTCATTCGCGTTCGTTTATTGAAATTTCTAGCACTTTTATACAGCGTTCAACTGTTCTGTTCGCTCACTGGTCACGTGATTACGGTTCCGCTCAACACGCTCTGCTCTTTGAACAAAATACCGAACGCAAGGTATGTAATATGGGTACCGTTCCGGTTCCGGTCCGCAAAAAAAAAAACGGTTTCGTTCCGTTTTTCGGTTCAATATCGTTCCGGTCCGGGTCCCTGGTTTAAACCACAGTCTTATGTCAACGGAGAACAAGCAATGAGTCTGGTTCGAACTTTTTTGAACCAGGTTCAATGTGACGTCACTGGTTCAACGCAAGAATGTACAGGTTCGAACCTAATTGAACCGGATCGAAACAGTTCCACCGCGAGAAAACATCTCTAATAAATGATCAAGACTACATGCATATTTTTTTTAATGCCAGTTCAGGTTCTATCTCTTTTTACTTTATCATGTTGAAGAGAGACAAAATAAATCGTGTGACGATTGCCACATGGAAATCGTTTACGCCCATTAATGACAAATGACATTCCAGATAATTGACAATCCCTTAAAACAAGCGATTTTTCCCTTGATGAACCTCATAGACTCCATTAATGGTTTTTGTTCAACGAAAATGGAAAATCAACAGCTAGAAATTGATGTCCAGCAATCGAACTCCGTAAGTATATTTTGTATATTGGTAAATTGTATGAAGGTTTTTAAATTTCCCGCTTGGATTCTATTGAAAAAGCCGGCGCGTGCGCGACCTGCCCGGAAAAATTAGTCAAAAATCTATGACCGATCATCGCCATTTTGCGCTGTTTTGTGGCTACTCGAAAAGTAGATAAAACAATGGTAGTTTGAGCTTAGATAATTAGAAAATTTAGGACGCAATTAGTGGTAGAATACTGTGTATACTTTGATCAATTGATTTTTGTACGATAAGGAGCTGCCCACGATGGCGGTGGACGACAAGGCGTCGAGTAAGGAGCTGGACCAGTGGATCGAACAGCTAAATGACTGCAAGCAATTAACGGAAAATCAAGTGAAAACTTTATGTGATAAGGTAAGACGGTTTTGCTACTAATTGGAATTGTTTGGGTATTAGCCCTTTAAATTTTTTTTAGGACAGAAATGTCATAGGGTTTATAGATCTATAATACCCCTTTCACCCCCCTTTTCCTTCAACCCAAATTTCCTCTTCTGCTTAAATAACCTAGTTAGATAACTTTATTATAGATAAAAATAAATGTTACACTAATTATTATTATTAATTTGATACAAAATGATTGGACAAATGCAAATGAGTCTAGTCTTTGTTGGTGCTTCTATACTGTATTTGCAAAAATGTACTCTGTACTTCAACAACAAAACACAGACAATACAGCCACATGATTTGACAAATCTCCAGTTTATTTTATGCCTGAAATTCTAATTGCATTGTTTCTGTGAAATGTGTAGTTTAAATACCTATCAAGTTAAATATTTAGCTAGAGTGCTATCTAATGACTAATGCTAGTTCTAAGAAAAAATACAATAAAATCACCTAATTGTTTTCACATAATATGATTTGAAGGATTATCAGCCCGATTATCAGCTACTATTGTGTATCAAATATCTTATAATTTTTTATTACAACAATTAAGTTTGTTCCTGTTCAAAAAATTGATCTCTAATTTTTATTAAAAATGTTTACTGTAGCCTGGAGTTCAGTAATCAAAGACTGAAATTTAATGACACACAATGTTTGTCCTTCAAGGTGACCTCATGAAAACAGCAAAATTATACATAATGAAAAGTTTGTCTTTGATGACTGATAAAATCAGCTGTTCAAAAAAATAACCTATTGAGTTTTTTTTAACAGTTACATACCTACAATGTTTACACTGCTGTTTTTGTTTGTTATTTTTCTTCAAGTTTTTCTTTGATAGATAGATAGAGCTTTGGGAAACCTCAGCAGAGTTCTTCAGACTTGTTTGAATTTTTACTGGATATTTGTATTTTTGATTTATGTTTCTATTTATTATAGCTTGTTCAAACAGATAACTGATAGTTATTGGTTTCAGAATTTTAATTTAATTTCCTCTCTGTAAGTGAGTATTACTACTAGTCAATGTGGGCCGAGGTGAGACCTATTAGCCCATTTTTGCACTGTTACTTATCAATTGTTTCAGAACTGTTAGTTTTTGAGTGTTCTGTCTTGAATACTGACACTGAAGTAACACTAACTGATTCAGCTGGGAGTTGATTCCAGAGGGCAAAGACTCTGTTTCGTAGAAAGTTCTACCTACACACTGTGAAGTAGTTTTCTTCTTAAGTTTGAAACTATGACCCTGAAGTCTCTAGTCCTTGTTCAAGGCATAGAGGTGTCCAACTGTTTGAATGTTGTTGTGGAGTGTTTGGTTTTGATAGGTGAACATAGAGTCTCCTCTTGTTCTTCTATTTCTGAAGCTCAGCAGTGTTTGTTGTTCTAGTCCTTGCTCATATGTAGGTCTTCTTCTCGGTCTTCTTCTACCAAGCTGCAAGTCTTTGATTATCAGAACTCCAAGGTCAGTGTTTTGCTGAACACTGTGCATTACTAACCCATTGATTGTGTATTCATTTTCTGGTTTATTTTTTCCAAGATGGGGTACTACCTACATATTTTTCCACATTAAGGGGTAGTTGCCAGTCCACGCACCACTTCTCAGAGGTGCAAGTACCAGGCCTTGGATTATGCCACTTTGTACTGGATAGATTTCAGAATATGTGTCGTCAACTCTGACTTTGTACTCCTTCTTGTTTGTAAGATAGTCTTTGGTTAAAAGCAGTAAATCCCCCCTCACACCAAAATAATTGAGTTTTAGCAAAGGCTTCTGACTTGGGACTCAGTCGATTGTCAAACATATAACATCAATGGGAGTTTTTTGCTCAGATTTTTCTGTGATGATGGATTCCATGATTTTGCTTACAATGTTCAAAAAACTGTTTTCATTTGTCTTTTTTTAAACATTTGGTTGGAATTATTGTTTTTTTTTTTTAAGAGTTTGTGTCAGGGTTGGAAAGTTTCTATTGGGTTTTTGTGAAAAATCTGAATAAAAAGCTATGGTGATCTCAGTTGTGAAGTGAAGTTTTTTTTTGCCTCAATTGTGGACTTTCTCAATAAAAACAAATCGGAATATACACTAATATATTGGTAGTTTAAGGAAAATTAAATTGGTTAGAAAAATCCAAGGAAAAATCTTTCTTTTTCTATTATAGACTTTTGAATATTTCTCATTTAGAGAAGTTTAGAAGAAAACCCAAATTCAAGATCCTGCAATGGGCAAAAATTGTGGTATAGACTCGGGTATAGAGGATGGAAATTTGAGAAAAAAATTGGTTAAAAAATCATTCTTTCTCTATAACAGGCTTTTAATTTTTTTTATCCATAGAAATTTGGACTAAAACAATTCAAAAGCTTGGAACAGACAAAAATTGAGAGAAAAATAGTGAAATAGAGGAAGGATGTTTGAGAAAAATTGGGAAAAAATTATTATTAATATTTTAATTTGACTAATTTTGATTAATATAGATGGGAAAAATGTGAATAATCCTAGATTTTCGTTTGATATTTGTCACTATGGCAGGAATGAGATAATTATTTCTTTATGAGTGGGTTTTTGTGTCACTGGATTTTTGAAACGGGTTTTTGTGTATGCCAACACTGGTAAGTGGTTTGTGTGTGATAATAAATATTTTTTGTTTGTTTGTTTTTCTCTCTCTTTTAAATATTTTGGTAGGATTTTTCTGTGGATTTTTGTATGGATTGATATTATTTGTTTTAATTTATATGGAAATATCCATCCAAAGACCAAAGTAGTGTGTGTCTGTGAACAATACATTTATCTTAATTTTGAGGCCAGTAGCAATTTTTGTCCAAAGTGTCCCTATTCTTTGTAAACTTTACCCTTAGTCTACTGTCACTCCGAGAATCTTCAACTTCAATAGTCTGCCAAATTGAATATTTGTCTAGTTCGTTTAACATTTTTGAAAAAGACATCTCCTTTAGAAGAATCTGTATGGTTGTGTCCTCGGTAGTGTCACAATTTGAATTTGTTATAGATTTTTCCGAGGAGTTTTCTTTTTTTGGGTTAGTTTGTTTATTTTTGGGATATTACTTTTTTCCCAATTTCACCATATGTAAGTAAGAGTAGGTACGTACTTATTTATAAAGATAAAAATTAAATACACTGGACTTTCTTAAATGATGAATTTTATATTTTTTTATTATTATTATTAGGTCTTTATTTAGCATGTATGGCTAATTTACAAAACATAGAGTACATAATATAATATTCATATACAACTATAAATTGCACAGTGTATGTATACATAAAGCACACAATACAATACATGTCATCATACATTGTTATGTCTAATAAAATTTGATAAAATAAAATAAAAATAAGAAATTACATTAAGATTATTTTAGGCACAGCTATAGAAAGTAAACATAGTTTTCAATAATAGTACGTAGTACATTGTCACACTAAACACAAGCTACAAACAGGGTATATTTACACATTCAGACATAAAGCACTCAACGATTCCTTTCTAAGTATCTCCAACAGCCACACATCAAGCTATTGGCCATTGTCGATTAATAACTTTTTCAGTTTCGATTTAAATATATTGAGCGTTGAGCTGCTTTTTACATCATTTGGTAGTTTGTTATAATTAATTAGGCCATTATGGAATAATGCCTTTTCAGTGCTCTTTTTATTCTTGGTTGCTACATGCAAATCATTCTGAGATCTTGTATTGTGATCGTGAATGTTACGGTTGTACAGCAGTGAGAGATTCTGTGTTTAACTTATCATTTAGGACTCCCCAAACTCCATACACTAAATTATCAAGACATTTGGAGCCGAAATCTTGAAATCTATGAGAAAAGGACGCCAGGAAATTGAAAAATTGAAGAATTCACCCCACGTTGCTTCACATGTTTTTATTTCTGGAACTAAAAGTCCAAATGAGCTGAAATTCTCAGGGATTATAAGTCCTCCACAAGGATGAGAATCGTTGAAAACTTCAGCTTTCTATCTATAATAGAAAAAGTTATGACTTCTCAAAGTTTGCAAAAATTTGAATTATGAGGTAGTAAGTACCTAAGGTTCGTTTCACCAGGGTTCATACTTGACTTTGAAACTTGAAAAAAAAGGGTTGTCGTAGATTAATTCATATGACATATTCAATTTTTTTGACAAATCAAAATGATTTAAGAACCGACGAACGTTTTTGATGTCATTGATTTGTTTCAGTCAATTTTTATTTGTTAAACAAGGAAGGCAAATGCTGGTGGCAAGTACAAACCCTGGCGAAACAAACTTTACCTTAGAACTAAAATGATAAAATTTCAAATTTTTTTATGTTGAGATTTTGTGTCTAAATCGAGGTCTAAATGGTCATTCGGGACCACTCAAACTCAATGCACTTAATTATTCTGAGATTTGGTGCCAGATTTTATGAAAAAAGGCACTCAGAAAAATTGAAAAATTGATAAATTATCCCAAATTGCTTAACACGATTTTATTTATGGAACTATATGTCCAAATGAGCTGAAATTTTCAGGGATTGTAGTCCTCTACTGGGATAAGAATCGCTGAAAATTTCAGCTTTCTATTTATAATAGAAAAAAGTTAAGAACTTTCAAATTTTTTCAAAAAATTAAATCATAAGGTAGCTAAGTACCTTCTTACTAAAATAATGAAATTTCAAGTTAAGATTTTGTGTCCTAATGGTCCTTTAGGATCCCCCAAACTCCATACGCTAAATTATTCTGAGATCTGAAGCAGATAGGTATCTATGAAAAAAGGCACTCAGAAAATACAACAATTGATAAATTCACCCCAAATTGCTAAACGCGATTTTATTTCTGGAACTATAAATCCAAATCAGCAGAAAATTATCAGGGATTGTATTACTCAACTCGAATAAGAATCGCTGAAAATTTCAGCTTTGTATCTATAATAGAAAAAGTCATAGGTCTTCAAAGTTCTTAAAAATCCAAATCATAAGGTTGGTTTCATGTTGAGATTTTGTGTTTAACTTATCACTCAGGACCCCTCAAACTCCATACATTAAATTATTAAGACATTTGAAGTTGAAATCTATGAGAAAAGGACTTCAGGAAATTGAAAAATTGAAGAATTAACTTCACGTTGCTCAACATGTTTTTATTTCTGGAACTAAAAGTCCAAATGAGCTGGAAGCAAAGTTTGCAAAAATCTAAATTACGAGGTAGTACCTTAGAACTAAAATGATAAAATTTCAAATTTTTTCATGTTGAGATTTTGTGTCTAAATGATCATTCAGGAGTCCTCAAACTCAATGTACTAAATTATTCTGAGATTTGTAGCCAGATTCTATAAAAAAAGGCACTCAGAAAAATTGATAAATCACCCCAAATTTTTTAACGCGATTTTATTTCTGAAACTATAAGTCCAAATGAGCTGAAATTTTCAGGGATTGTAGTCCTCTACTGGGATAAAAATCGCTGATAATTTCAGCTTTCTATCTCTAATAGAAAAAAAGTTTTGGGTCTTCAAACTTTTTAAAAATCCAGCTATAATCAAGAATGAACATACACAAGGAAACAATACTACAAATATATGAGCAAAAAATAAATGTTAGCGCTGTAGATTTTTTCTTATCTGTGTCTGAAATAAAGAAAATCTGAATCTTCGGAATTTTTAAAGTATGTACTACATTCATAAGAAATTCAACACAGACAGAGAGAACAGAGAATTACATTGGTATTTTTCTCAGAATCTTAGAATAAATTATTTAGAAATTAAATGTTTCTGACCTCATGCAAATGTCTCTCAATCTTGCAAAAATGCTAATTTTTTTGATATTAATGAAATGACAATAGCCAATGTGCTGACATTGTTCTTTAATGATGATAACACAGATAATACACATAATCACAATGAATTTTCCTTTCTATACAGCTTTCAATTCAAATTTACATAATTTATTTTTAGACTTAATTTGACTCCTTATAATTTTTATAGCTATAAATTACTGAATACCTATACCTAAAAAGGATATTTTTTGGTTTAGTTTGGAACCTTTTTCTGTGTGTAGTACTTATGGAATTTTATCAAATAGCATAAATCAAAATTGTTTACAGCAGTTCACCTCAAATTCTAATAAAGATATTACTAAGTAGTACTGTTTTTTTATAGAATAGTAGTATAAACAATATTTTTTTTTTAGGCAAAGGAGATTCTGTCAAAAGAATCCAATGTGCAAGAAGTCAAATGTCCAGTCACAGTATGCGGTGATGTACACGGTCAGTTCCATGACCTCATGGAACTGTTCAGGATAGGGGGTCGTAGCCCGGACACAAATTACCTATTTATGGGCGATTATGTCGACCGTGGTTACTACTCAGTTGAAACAGTAACACTATTAGTTGCCCTCAAAGTCCGCTACAAGGAAAGAATTACCATCTTGAGGGGCAACCACGAATCAAGGCAAATTACACAAGTTTACGGCTTCTATGATGAATGCTTGAGAAAATACGGAAATGCTAATGTTTGGAAATTCTTTACCGATTTATTTGACTATTTACCACTAACTGCTCTAGTTGATAGTCAAATTTTCTGTTTGCACGGAGGATTGAGCCCTAGCATTGATACCTTGGATCATATCAGAGCTTTAGATCGTCTACAAGAGGTAATAACTGCATACATATGATAATTTTTGTTTAAATATTTCTGACCTAATTGCTAATTAAACTAATTTTAGGTGCCTCATGAAGGCCCAATGTGTGACCTGTTATGGTCGGATCCGGATGATCGAGGTGGATGGGGAATTAGTCCTAGAGGTGCTGGTTACACTTTTGGACAAGACATCTCGGAAACGTTTAATCATTCTAATGGACTGACACTAGTTTCCAGAGCTCATCAGCTGGTTATGGAGGGCTATAATTGGTGTCACGATAGAAACGTTGTTACCATCTTTAGCGCACCCAATTACTGCTACAGATGTGGAAATCAAGCTGCCATTATGGAATTGGATGATGCACTTAAATATTCTTTGTGAGTTTGTGATTCATTTTTTTAAAATTAATTATGACTTTATGGTTGTTTTTTTTTAGCTTACAATTTGATCCAGCTCCTAGACGCGGTGAGCCTCATGTGACTCGTCGAACTCCTGATTATTTCTTGTAATTTGTAAATGTCAATCTCTATACAAAAATTTTGCTTAGATTATTATATTATTAATTACTTATTGTTTGTTAAGGTACAAGCAAATGAATACTAAATGCGTGTAAAATATCAACGTAAAGGTGTAACTATTAAATATTATATTTAAAAAAAAAACAATACTTAAAAATTTAGCAAAACAACATGTAAAATGTACTTTCCAAATACATATAATTTAAAATGTGTATTTTTGAGGATTAATTTCAGTGCGTGATGGGACACTTAGACTTTTTTTTTTATGATTTTTTTTTTAGAAGACGAACAAGAAGGATTTTTGCTTTCTGTGATGCAAAAATATTTATATAAGCATCAGGTTTAAATTACAATTATTACATATTTATTAATCTCGAAATAATAAGCCTATTACAGTTTTATTCTTTCGCTGCTTTATATGATAATGTAGAGTTTTTATTGAAATTTCCCCAAATGGTTTACCCCTCTGAGGGTTTACCTATTCAAAATGCTTATGTAAAATTACCAAAATCTTAATTTAGGTACTACAAAAACTGTTGTTTTTGTCTTATTGTCTCAAAAGCTTATGTTGAAATTTTTTTTTGTTGGTCAATAAACAATATTTCTAACAGGATTGTGTTGTATTTATTCGGTATTTGGTATTTAGATTTAGAATATTTTAACTAAATAACCATCAATAATAAATAGTTTATGAAATTTAAGTTTGGACTAAGAATTGTGAACTAACATTGCTTCTCATAAGTCGTACGTAAATTATATTGTAACCTAATAAAGACACTTTTGTTCCCTCATAAACAATATTTATCTTGCTTATGCTAGCATTTATTTTAATATAAAATAGACACGCAACTACAGTAAAGCATTCATTCACTTTGGAGATCGCATCACAGTAATTTGTTTCATTGATAATAGTTTAAAGTTTTCATTTGTAATACTTTTCTGAAAATAAATAAAAAAAAAAGTTTAGCGAAGTGGAAACTTAATTCGTTCGCCAATTCTCAATTCAGCAAGGTCTGCGAGTGACGTCACCACCATCAGACGCTATTAGTGATGACGTCACCCGCAGACCTTGATGGAATGGGCTATTACCATGTTGCCAGATTTACTGTCATCAACTGACAATCTAACCAACCAAAAAGTTAGGTTAGGAGGTCTTTGTTTTTGTTTAGAGTTTGATCAAAAAGATAGTTTGATTTAATTCCTAAGTGAAAAATGGTCCCAGATGGCATAGAAAACGACCAAGTACTATTAGCGACAGGCGGCTACGATCACCTAATCAAGTTATGGCAAACCTCCACTGGAATTTGTCACAGGACCTTGCAACATGCAGAATCCCAAGTGAACGCCTTGGAAATTACTCCTGATAAGAAATACTTGGTCACTGGTAGCTATCAGCACATTTACTTGTACGAATTAATGTCCAACAATCCTGGTGCAACTGTAAACTATGAGGGTACTTCGAAGAATGTTACTTGCCTTGGGTTCCAAGAGGATGGACGATGGATGTTTTCTGGTAAGGATTCTTAGATATATTTCTATGGATAATGCTCAGTTTTGTCTAAGAATACTGGGGGGGTTTAACTAACAATAGGATATACTTAGCTAGTCCTTGTCCAAGGGGCAAACCACTTCTCTAAAAAATGTTTGTGTATTGCGGAAATCCCATAATTTCTTGGCAATCATTGCGATTTCCAGGGCTGCCATGAGAATTTAAGAGATTTCGAAGATTGCCATGAAAATCCAAATGATTTCTAAGATTGCGGGACTGTAAAATGATTATTGCAGGACTGCGGAAGAGATTGCGAAAAAAATACTTGCGATTGCGCGATTGCCACATTGATTTAGAGTGATTTCGGAGGCTGCGACAAGAAATTTAGCCCCTATGACCGCATTTATAAGATTTCCGCGACTGCGAACATGATTTTCGCGACTGCGAACATGATTTCTGCGAATGCGAAGAAGAATGCGGGATTTCGGACTATTTTGGCGACTGTCTAACGAAGACTGCAGGATTTCCTTGTGATTTCGAAGAAATTTAAATAAAATTTACATGTGTTGCGGGGAGTAGGGCAAACCACTCCTCTTAAAAATGTACACGTATTGCGGAAATCCTATGATTTCTTGGCAATCATTGCGATTTCCAGGGTTGCCATGAGAATTAAAGGGATTTCGAAGATTGACATGAAAATCGTAATGATTTCCAAGATTGCTGAAATAATCGCAATAATTTCCAAGATTGCGCGACTGCAAAATGATTATCGCAGGACTGCAGAAGGGATTGCGAAAAAAATACTTGCGATTGCCACATTGATTTCGAGCGATTTCGGAGGCTGCGACGAGAAATTTAGACACCGTATTCACAAGATTTCCGCGACTGCGAACACGATTTTTGCGACTGCGAACATGATTTCCGCGACTGCGAACGTGATTTCTGCGAATGCGGAGAAGAATGCGGGATTTCAGGCTATTTTGGCGACTGTCTAACGGAGAATGCAGGATTTCCTTCTGGTTTCGAAGAAATTTTAATAAAATGTACAGGTATTGCGGGGAGTGGTTTGCCCTCGTCCTATTCTAAAAGCTAAAGGTTTGTTTCCTTTAATAGTATTCAAGTTTCCATTTATAATCAGATAGGAAAAACCTGTTTTACCCCATTTCACAGTATTTGAAGTACTATTTATGGCCTATGAATTTCTACTGCAACTATATTATATGACTGAAGAATGTTAAAAACTCGGTTGAAAAAACGCATAATTCCTCAAAATTCCTGCAAATTCCTCCAAATTCCCCAGAAAGTCCTCCAGATACCTCATCAAAAATGTGTCCAAATACAACACCACATATTTCTCCAAATACCCCACAAATTCCTCTAAATTCCCTGCAAATTCCTCCAAATTCTGGCAAATTCCTCCAAACTCCTCTCAAATTTCCATAACAAATTCCCTGAAAATCTCCAAAATTGCTCGAGATAAGAAATTTATTTTTTCTATTTTTATTTCACTTAGTTAAAATACATGATCAGTTTATCAAGTAGGATCCTCGGTAGGATCGAGAGTAGGATCAAATGCAAAGTTACATTAGTTGACTTTAGAGCTAGAATTAATGATTGGTTTTTGGTAATCCAGAATGCAGGGGTTTAAACTAACCTAAACCCGCATTTGATATTATTACCTACCTGATACCCGAGGAAAAACCATTTTAGGAAATTAAAACAAATATAATACTGTATAATACCAAGAATAAAACACATCATGTAGCTACTTTTTAAACAAATTAGGTAGGTATGTATATTGTTTTACAATATTGAGGGTAAGTATATTGTTGCTTTTTATTTTAAATGGACCTTTACCTAAAAGTTGAACAGGTTTACAAGACCATAATCAATAAACTTTATCTGTACCTCAGCATAGTCAGGCTGAGAAGGCCAAATGAATGTGTCTAATTCCTTTTTCAATAATTTGGAATTTTTGGAAATAAGTCCCTAAACCCTTTCAACGTTCAGCCTTTTTTCCATAATATGATGCTAGGATACATTCTCGGATTTGGATACAGATAAACTTGTATCAACTTCAAGCAGCTTGAAGGAATCTTGGAAATCAACCTACAATAACTGAATTAATAGAAATACAGTCTCACACATTTCACGTTTTCTTGGAAAACTAGTGAAAGGAAAAATTTGAAACTTTTTGTATGTAAGTAAACAGAAAGGCTCGGAGAAAGGCGAAAAGCTCAATTTCCCAAAATTTCAAATTTTAGCAGTGGAAAATAACAACATGAAGATTCTTGGAAATCAACCTGTCAAAAACTGAATTAGGTGATAATACCGCGAGTAATACCGTCTCATACATTTCAAAGTTTTGCTAGAAAACTAGTGAAGGGAAAAATTTAAAACTTTTTGCATGTGAAGAGGAAGGTTAAAGGCTGATTTTTCCAAAATTTCAAATTTTTCCAGTTGAAAATAATAACATAAGGAATCTTGGAAATCAACCTACAAAATCTGAACTAATTGAAAATACTGTCTCACACATTTCAAAATTTTCCTGGAAAACTAGTGGAGGGAAAAATTTTAAACTTTTTGCATGTGAAGAGGAAGGTTAGAGGCTCATTTTCCCAAAATTTTAATTTTTTTCAGTGGAAAATAGAATCATGAAAAATCTTGGAAATCAACCTACAAAATTTGAACTAATTGAAAATACTCTCTCACATTTTTCAAAGTTTTCCTGGAATACTAGTGAAGGGAAAAATTCTCGGAAACATTTGAAACTTTTTGCATGTGAAGAGGAAGGTTAGAGACTCATTTTCCCAAAATCTCAAATTTTTCCAGTGGAAAATAACAACATAAAGAATCTTGGAAATCAACTTACAATAACTGAATTAATTAAACATCTGTCTTACACAATTCAAAGTTTTCCTGGAAAACTAGTAAAAGGGGAAATTTGAAACTTTTTGCATGTGAAGAGTAGAAAGGCTAAAGGCGAGGCTAAAGGCTAATTTTCCCAAAATTTCAAAATTTTCCAGTAGAAAATAACAACATGAGGAATATTGGAAATTAACCTACAATAACTGCATTGATTGAAAATACAGTCTCACACACGAGCTCAGACATTTCAAAGTTTTCCTGGAAAACTAGTGAAGGGAAAATTTTGACACTTTTTGCACGTAAAGAGGAAGGTCTGAAGCTCATTTTCCCAAAATTTCAAATTTTTCTAGTGGAAAACAGCAACATGAAGAATCTTGGAAATCAACCTACAAAAACTGAATTAGTTGAAAATAACGTCTCACACATTTCAAAGTTTTCCTGGAAAACTAGTGGAGGGAAAAATTTGAAACTTTTTGCATGTAAAGAAGAAGGTGAGAAGCTCATTTTCCCAAAATTTAAATTTTTTTCAGTGGAAAATAACAACATGAAGAATCTTGGAAATCAGCCTTTAAAAACTGTCCTCATTATTCATTTAAATTTTTTAAATTTGGACCTGTAAATCATGAAGTGAAATTTTGGGAGAATTTCTTTAATAAAAATGAATGGCCAACGTCCAACACAAAACTAGATTTTTTTAAAATTCCCATTTATTAGTGATTCTTATAATAAGAATCCTCATAAATTCCTCATAAATTCCTCACAAATTCCTCCAAATTCCCCATAAATTTCTCTAAATTCCCTCCAAATTCCTCACAAATTCTTCTAAATTCCCCAGATTTTTGGCAAAGAATTCCTAGGTGGTTTGCCTCTTGGTTAAAAATATAATACTTTTGAATTTGAACTATGTCTCTAAAATCAATAGATTTTAAAATATTTGATAAAATTGTTTTTGCAAATGTTCAAAAATCATCCTGTTTTTGCGAAATCAATAGAAATTTGGCAACAACGAAAATATTTTTCTAATATTCTTCAAAATTGACAACTTTTTTCTAATTTAAACGCCCTCGTAACTTTAACCGTTCCCGAGATAGCAATACTGTCCCTATGAAATAGTTGAAATCCTGTATACAAAAAAGACAAGGACCCATCTCCTAGCTCATCTCAGTTTGTATTTTTCTATTAATTCAGATGTTTTGTGCCCAACTTTTAATAATGTTCCTTATAACATAAATAAATGGTTGGTTGTTTAGTGCTTTTTTCTATAATTATTTTGTAAATGTAAATATCAAAAATCCACAATATTCAATTCCTTCTAGGTGGTGAAGATGGTAAAGCCAGAATCTGGGACCTAAGATCCAAAGGAAATAACTGCCCGAAAAGTTTCGACACTCGCCAAGGTTCTGGTACCACCCTATCCCCAATAAATTGCGCCGTTTTGCACCCGAACCAAATCGAACTGTTCATCGGCGACCAAAACGGTATAATATACCGCTGGGACCTCAGAACAGACAACAACGAACAATTTATACCGGAAAACGACGTAATGATTCTCAGCATAGACATCGCACCCGACAAAACTCAAATGGCTTCAGTTAATAACAAAGGCAGAGCTTATATTTGGAGTTTGACATCGGGAGCTGACTCGAGCACAAGCCTTAAACCAAAACACAAGTTTGAAGCGCACAAAAGGGCCGTGCTTAAGTGTAAATATTCTCCTGATTCTAAATTGTTAGTCACCACATCAGCTGATCAAACTGCAAAAATTTGGGATTCACAGGACTATAATTTGCAGCAGGAATTGACTCAAGATAATCAAAGATGGGTGTGGGATGCTGATTGGAGTGCTGATAGCCAATTCGTTTTTACATGTAAGATCTAATTTTTGTGTTTTTTGATTACCTATATTTTTGTTTGTGTTTTTAATTCAGGTTCCTCAGACAATTATGCTAAATTGTGGAATGTCAACACTGGGGCTTTGGAGAGAAAATTTTCTGGACATCAAAAAGCTGTTACGGGTCTAGCTTTTAAAGATACTCTCTTGTAGATTAAGGTACCTATATTTTTATTATGTATATATTAGTTAATAATTTCTATTTTAAAACTACCCTACCCTGTTTGAATTTGATTTTCATTTTACATTATTCAAATATATTGCAGAAAAACACGCCACTTTGTTGTTTGTATACCCTGGTAATTTTCTTTTCGTGTGTATTTCTTTTGGAATAATTTTCCATTTTGAGTTCAACAAACCACCCACAATAATAATTTGAAAAATTTGAATTTTATTTTCATTTTGCATTGCTCTGTTTATGTAAACCGCAATATATTTCATATACATTTTGAGAATAAGAAAAGCAATAGATGGAAGTGTGCATAGTGTTTTTGCAAATATTTATCTATTGCTGCTTTAATGTGTATTGCATCATAGAATTTAAATATTTATTCACATGGTTTTTTTTTTGTAAATTTAAGGGAGCAATTTTTATGTAAATTGCCATTTTACTTTCTCAAAACAACTTAAAAGTTCAATAGCCTTTAATTTTTTAGGCAAACAAAGATAAAGGTAATTTGTTAGCGTGTTCGCACCTTACGCAATTTATTATGTTCCGCCAATTTATGATAATAGAAATTTTTCTACAGACCGACGCACTCAACAACCACTTCTATTATTTTAATCTTATCACCCTATCAAAAATTATACTGCCATAAAACGGAATATTAAAGGCAAAAAATCTACTTTGTTTGGAATGTGGTTACTTCATTATTTTCCAAATTTGTGTTGGATTTTGGACAAAAACAACCACATTCTTTGTTGTTGATTATGAATTTATGAAGAAACTTATGATACAAAGTGATGTAATGACGCCTAGAATTTATATTTGAAGAACAAACATTTTTAAAAAATAATAAAAATTGTCCTGTAACTTATTTGTCAGCTTTTTCTGCAGGGATAGTAGGACACTCTGGGCATTTATTGCTGCCTTTGATAAATTTTGCATACAGAATATAGACAATTACTGAAGCATAGGTTGCAATGGCGACCTGCAAAAAGAAAACACAATAGTAGATCAATGATTTGTAGTATGTAAAAATAGGCTTACATTTGCTCTGCCTCTTATAGTAGTACTGTTAAAGTGCCTTTTTAAGCCTTTGAGATTGGGATCGTCATATTTGTTCAATTCGTCTTCGTCGCCTGACATTTTTAGTTTGTCAACTTTGACAGAATTTTATTATATTTGCTTGGTCTTTTTTGGGCTTAATAGAATGAAGCACTTGAAGGTGCTCTCTTATTAAAATGAGTGTAACTTAAAGAATTTGGAAGTTGTTAAGTGTTAGAATTTGCAGTCTTGGAAATTTTAAAAATTTGAATTAGGTTTCAAGCAAGTCAGTTTTCTCAGTGACAATGAAATGACAGCAAGCAATAAGCTGAAGGAATAAGATCATCAATCTGTCCTGTTGAACATAAATTTCCCACACATTTTCATTAGGTTTTATTCTGGAATGAGATTTAGGAATTTGCAACTCCACATAGCAGAAATCCCATACACTTTAGTTTTGAGCCATTTGCTGTGGTTCCTTTGTTACCGTCAGTCTATAGGTCTTCTTTTGCTACGCCTTATAGATGTTCTTTTTGTCCATCAGTTGTGTTGAAGGCAGGGTTGACAAAAACCCAAGTTTTTGGAAATTTCTATTGGGTTTTTGGGTTCATTGTGATAGAATAGAACCAATTTAAGAATGGTACACGCACGTATCTGGACGGAGTTATGGCGTTGAAGCCAGCGGGCAAACGATTATTTCAATAATTTGGTTTTGAAATAGATCTGATTTAGGTATGCTACTGGATGCCCCAACTACTCACTGTTGTTATGGCACCCGTGATGAATATACCAATGCGCAACTTGCGGAAACACGTGCGTGTACCCTTCTTAAGTTGAGTGGACTCTAGTTTTTGTGTTTTTGTAGGGCTTTTCTGTTTGAAAACCCTTTTTTCGATGAATCTCAATTATTAGTTTTAACCCCTTAAACCACCCTCAAAGTAATTTGCAAGTCAAATGAGGTTCCTTAAACGATGTATATTGGTACTGCCTATAACTTCCAGTACCACTTGTACCCGAGACTATGGTGGAAATGTCCATATTTGCACAAAAACCTTATTTTCGATGAATCGCAATTATTAGTTTTACTCCCTTAAACCACCCTCAAAGTTATTGGCAAGTCTTTTTAGGTGCCCTAAACGGTTTATATTTCAAACTTTCTTAAAGAGATCAGAGTCCAGTTATAAATTTACAAATTCCCAACTTAGCCAATACTTTCACTTTTCAATTTTCATGAATGAAGAAATATTACATTTTTCTTTACACGAAGCCTTGGTAAAAATATCAGTCAAATTGTTTTCACTACTGACATACTCTATCTTTAGAACATTTTTAGAACACAAATCGTTTATAAAATGTTCCTTAATATCTATATGTTTGCCACGTTTCGAATTTTCGTAACTTTTACTCATAGAAATAGCACTTAAATTGTCAATATTCAGGATTACTTTTGTCACTTCACTAAACTCCGAAAGTAAGTACTCCTTTTAAATTTACCAGTTCTTGTGCAGAAGCTGCTGCTGCGACGTACTCGGCTTCTGCTGTGGATAGGGCCACTCAAGTCTGCTTTTTGGAAAACCATCTGATTGGATTATCAGCATAAAGAACAACGGAACCACTTGTGCTCTTCTTGTCAACTTTATCTCCAACCCAGTCTGCATCCGAGTCTAAGTCCGGCTAATTTTTGCCATACACCAGTCCTGTTTCAATGGTGTTTTTGAGATAGTGTAACACTCATTTTCCAGCTGTCCATAAAGCTTGATTCGAGCTGTCCATATATCTGCTAAGATACGAAACCGGATACATGATATCTGGTCTTGAAGTGTATGCCAGCTACATCAATGATCCAATCAGTTTTCTGTAAGGAACACTTAAAATCTCATCAGATTTTTCACCTTGAAATCCAGTGACCATTGGAGTTGTAACAGCTATGTTGAATTCTTTGAGAATCTTCTGTGGGTAGCTTTTCTGTGTTATCGTCACTTTTTCGGATGTTCTATTTATTTCCATCCCTAACTTCACCCAGAAATTTAGCATTCAGTTTTTCCTTCAGACTAATAACACTTTGTACCTTGTCCTTGTTTTCAGTTAAAATCAAGTCATCCACGAACACTAAGAGCCAAACATCTGCTTTAGAATACTGACAAAAATCATAATTAGATCTTCTAAAATCTGTCATGATTTGATTGAATTTGTTGTTCCAACATCTCGGGCTCTCCTTAAGACCGTACAGTGCTCTGTTCAATTTTAACACTTTGGATCTGTCAACATTTAGCCCCTCAGGTACTTTGATATAAACATCAGACTCGACATAGCCATTTAGGTAAGCTGTTGGAATGTCTAGCTGACATATATTCCAACCCTGTATTAGTCCATTTACAAGAAACGCTCTGGACGCAACTGGAGCATACATAAAGGATTCTCCTCCTTAATCTAGAATCCCTTAGCTACTAGCCGTGTCTTCTTTGAACCATCTTCTTTGGTTCTAAATGCCCATCTGGTATCAATGGTCCTCTTGTTCTCTGGAAGCTCACATATAGTTCAAGTTTGGAGATTTTTATGTGACTCTAATTCATAAGCTATTGCATTTTGCCACTCAACAGATTCTTGAGCATCAGAAAAAGTTTGAGGAACGTCTTGAGACCCAATGGTTTCGTAAACCTCATATATCTCGTAATCTTCCAGGTGTTGTGGTTTATTCACCTGTCTTCCAACTCTTGTAATTGTTGGTTCTTGAAAATCTTGTATCTTTTCATCATTTAAATCCTGAGATTCACTATTCTCGGCTTGTACAGAATTGTTTTCAGAAGTTTCAGAACTCTGCTCAGAACTGTCTTCACTCTCCGAGTTATTTTCATGAAAACCTTCTCGATTTACTTCTTCATCTTGTATTGGTCATATTAGTAGACCATCATCTTTTTCTGCAGGTTTTGTTTTCCTGATTATTGCCTCATTTTTATTATTGTTCCCAAAGAAAACCTCATCTCTGCTGTGTGTTATTTGCTTTGTTCTTGGGTTTATTAACCTAAAAACTTTCGTATTTTCGTCGTAGCCCATAAAAAGTAATTTCTCAGATTTCGGGTCCCACTTCTTCCTTAATGCATCTGGTATATGAGCCATCGCCTCACAACCAAATATTCTTAAATGTGATAAGTCTGGCTTTTTCTTCAACTATGCTTCATAAGTTGTTTTATTTTTCACTGCTCACCTTAGAAAAGCATGCATTTGATAGCATGTGTAGCTGACTGTTGTCTTATGGACTGCTTGTTCAAGTACATTTCTCAATTTATTATTTACATATTCTGTCCCCGAATCCCGTTGTCGGTTCTTGATATTTTGATTTTACAATCACTTCGATTTTCTACTTGCCGCTTAAATTCTTTAAATACTTCAACAACTTGGCTCTTTTCTGACAGAAAATATGTACTAACTCCAAAATCTTATACTTGACTGTCTAGAACTACACTTAAATGGCTATCTACATTGCTTTCTCTCTACACAGGCAGCACACGGTTCAGTGGTTATAGAGTTTATGTTCAAACCACTACACATATTTGACAATAGCTTCATATTCTTTCTATTCAGGTATCCCAACCGTTTATGCCATAAATCGCTAGATTCTTTTACACTCGAGTATACTGGTGTTTCATTAACTGCTCATCCAACTGTATCTCCACTCAAAGTAGTCTTAAGCTGATAAATGTGGTTTACTTCGAAACCATTGGCTACAATTTTCTTTGACACATCCATAATGTGAGCTCCATACCTACTAAATATTCCCTTGTGACCTTTTTGCACAAGTTTACTTATAGAAAGTAAATTTACTGCTGCATCAGGAGCATACATAACCTCTTTTGCAGGTATGATTTTGTTTCCACCATTAATCACCACGCTAACGTTGGCTGTTCCTTGTGACACTATACTGACTTCGGAATTGTTAGCTGTCTTTATGTTTCCAGCTTCACTAAACACATTGTCCCTTAACCAATGTTTATTTTTGGTTAAGTGCACTGTGTACTGAAGCACAAGAGTCTAAGTACCATGCGTCCTTCTGTACTTTCTCTGAAGATAAGCAGGTCAGAAAGGCTGTGTTCCCCTTATTCTTATTATTATCTTTATCAATCGGTTTGGCACCTCTGGCCAATTTTACCACAATTGTAGCACTTTATTCTATTTTTCTTAAGGCTTCTGTTAAAACCGTTTTTCGAAAACATAGCTGCATTGAGGTCTATAAACCTAGCAGTCCCAAGGTGGAAAAAAACTTTGGGAACTATATAATAATTAGGTGCTAATTAGGGCCTCTAATTAAAAATTAGGTGCTCCTTTAGTTTTTGAGAAAATCAAAAAAAACTAAGGAACTGCTAGGTTTATAAAAGCTAGCAGTCCCCTATAGTAAAAAAGATTTTTTTCAAATTTCTTCTTTGTATCAGAATTAGGTGCTTTTTAGGTGCTCCTAAATAGTCCAAGAAAAAATAGAATTGATTAATTATTAACTGAGTTACAGATTTTTTTTTTAATTATTAGGGGACTGCTGGCTTTACGTTTACATGTTGGTGTGTCAGAATGGCAAAAAAACTTCGGGATCTATATAATAATTAGGTGCTAATTAGGGCCTCTAATTAAAAATTAGGTGCTCCTCTAGTTTTTGAGAGAATCAAAAAAAAATAAGGGATTGCTAGGTTTATGAAAGCTAGTAGTCCCCTATAGTGAAAAATATTTTTCCAAAAATTTCTTTTGTATCAGAATTAGAATAAACCTAGCAATCCCTTAGTTTTTTTTGATTTTCTCAAAATGTAATAACTTAACCTTCACAGAATCGCCAGTTATCTGAGCCCCACTACTTTCCAAACCCATAATAATAGACCGGTATTCATCTGGTAGTCCTGCTAACAAGAGAGTGCCTACCCATTCGTCTTCTACTTTAAATTTTAACTCATTTAGCTTGTGTGAGGTTGAGATTATTGTGTCACAATAGGCTTCTACTGATACAGAATCCTCTAACCTGGTTGTTCGAACTCTCTTAGAAGACCGCCTTTTCTTGTAAGTTCCGAGTCCTCAAATACCTTCTTTAGATTATCCCAAGCTTCTTTGGATGTTTTGGCTGTTTTCAGGTGTGAGCAGTTCAACTTGTCCACCTACAAAACGATTTTGGAAAGAGCTTTTTTGTCTTTTTTATCGTCTGTCTCTCCTCCCTGTACCATTTGCCATAGATCGTCCAATTCAAGAAGTGCTCTCATTGCAAACTTCCATTCATTAAAGTTGTCCCTACCGGTCAACTTATCAATTGACACAAAAGACGAACCGCTTGCCATTTTTGCGTGTTAGCACAAAAACACAAACGCTATTACTTTTCTTTTGACTAAACTATAATCACTTTGGCTGGGCCCATAACCTGTAAGGGTATTTCCTGTTTGGGCCAATGAAACAATACCCTGATGGAAGTACTGTTTATTGTAGCAAAAGTAATCTAGCGTTTACACTATGGATACATATTATAATAATTAGAATCATCAACTAAAGAGCGGAGCGCGTGTTAATTATTTTGACAACAACAGAACAATACAGCTTGACAGTTCTCCAAGGGCAGCTGTCTGTCAATTGACACTTGGTGGCTAAGGCCCTGACTACAATTCTTTTATTTTATGACACTGGTGTTAAAAGTGATTACTTTTAGCACTGAGTGCTAAAAGTAATCACTAATCACTTTTAGTGCGTTTGTAGAAAAAATAGTGCATAATATTCGTGCTAAAAGTGATTTTATTTTGTTCAGAGGGATGGAACACTCCACCTTAGGCTAGTCAAAATGGGTGGTTGGGGTAGAAAAAATTAGTAACAAAGTGATCTCTGCGGAAATGAGTAGTCAATAGGGTCCTAATTAATTCCTCAAAAATCGCACTTTGTCGCATTGGTGGAACTTGGAAAAAATGGCCGCCATCTTGAATTTTTTCGAATTTATTGAATATTTCGTAAAGCATGCATTATATCAGAAAAACTCAAGAGACCTTTTTTGTGGAGAATCAAAAGTTACCTATAATTTTAAGCCCATAAGCTGGAAAACGAAAAAGTTATTGACATTTATTTCATTTGATAATATAGAATTTTTCAAAACATCTGGAAAAAAGTCAAATATTTTTTTTTTTTTTTTTGTGCAAAACTATTTTTTTTTTTGAGAGGGAGAAAAAACACATATGACAAGAAAAACATTTGGGCAGGAACCTATACCACTTGCCAGACTATAGATAGATACAGATTCAAATAAATTTAATTCTACTTTATAAATCGTCTTCTTCGTCGTCGTGTATTATGGCATTATTACAGCTTACACCATCGCACTGACCACATTTTACAGAACACTTTAGTCCAATTTTTCTGCAGGAACAATTCTTTAAACAATTGCTTTCTTTGCAATTGCAAAAAATTAATTTCAACAAATCTGGGGGTGCTGGATCTTGTCTTGTGTTAATAGGTACTAGATCTCCCATTTCGTCAATTTTCCAATCATATTGGAGAGGGTTGAGGGAGTTCCCCAGCCATTCTTGAATCTGGAAAAATATATAAGCTAAACTTGATAAGAAATGTAAATTATATATTTTCAAAACTCTGACCTGAAAATATGTCCTAAGAATGTGCTGTTTGGCAGATTCTTCAGTTGGCGGCAGTGTGGCTAAACTTAGTTTAGAATTGAGGTTTTGATAGTGTGTAACGTAGCTGGTTAATACCGCAAATCCTCTTTGGACACCGGTAAAGATTCAAAAGAATTTTAAGTCCTGATTTAATCAAAACTGAAATGTCTGCATTATAGGTTCTTGAGGTATATCCAGGTCTCGACATAGATTTTTGTTTTCTTGTACCAATTTCAAGAAGGACTTTTTTGATTTATTGTACAAAAATGATGTTGTGTCACAGCCTAACATTGCGTGTATTAAAAGTATGTATTCTTTTGTATGGCCTAATTTTGTCTGAATCTCATTTATTCTAGAAATTTTGTCGCCCTTTGCCCCTTTGCCTGCTCGAAGCGAACACACATTATTGGTTTTTATATGATCTATGAGTGAAACCATGATATCTGTATCCTCAGAAACTACGGCCACATGTGTTTTAATGCTAGACAACTGAACTGCCGTCATTGCTATCAGTACATCAGCATCCCTTTCCGCCTGATATACGGTAATATCATTTTCTTCTAGATATCTTCGCAGAATTTCGATAAACTCTTTTTTATTTTGACTATTCCTTAAAAAGAGATCTTGTGGTGTGACAACCGTGCCGTGCAACTGGATTGAGACTGCTACGCTCTGTTTAGATCTAAACTTCTGTAAGTTATCTTTAGTTGATAGATTTTCTTGATATAGCCATCAAAAACTACTACACAATTTTTGGTGTATGTATAAACAATATAATTTACATACTGAGAGAATATTTCATGGTATATTGCTGGTCTTTGCCATTTCACCTTATGCAAAAGAAATCTGCCATACAAAAGGTCTTGTTATTTATGAATGGAGCTGAAGAAGTATGCAAGCTGTCAATTTCTTTCAGAAGTTGAGATTTTACTCCCTTTCTTAGGTTGCCGTCTTTAAAAAGTGCCAATGGATATGGTGAAAGTTCGAAGTCAAAACAATGTTTAATTTCTTCAGGTGTTTTATTCGAGCAAATAATTCTGTTAAAGAGCTGCATGGGGTTTATGTCTACGTACTTCTGGCGAATTTTAATACTGTTGCTCATTTGGGCAAAGTTTTTGATATTTTCTACATTGTATTTCGGTGAATTTTTTACCAATATTTCTCATCAAGATGTTTTCGCCAATGCCACGAGCTTTATCACAATTAACAAATGAAGATGCAATAATACCAGATGAAAGAGATATGAATTCAGTATGCCCTAAATCTTCTCAGTAGTGGAAAAGAAAGACTGAAAACTTGAGACCATCCTTCAAACCTTTGACATCAAACTTTTCGATAATGACTGATGTTTTTTTTTTTAACCAATATAGGTATCTTCAATCCTCTACAAAAAGGCATTCTTAAGTTTTATTAGAAAAATGCATATATTTCGCGATATTACCCAAAGTTCAAAAATTTCCAGATTTTTAAATAAATTAAACTACAATAACTTTTTTATTTTCCCGCTAATAGTATTGAAATTTCTTTCATTATAGGTAACTTTTGATTCTCCACAAAAAAGGTCTCTGGAGTTTTTTCGATATAATGCATACTTTACGAAATATTCAATAAATTCGAAAAAATTCAAGATGGCGGCCATTTTTATCCAAGTTCCACCAATGCGACAAAGTGCGATTTTTGAGGGATTAATTAGGACCCTATTGACTACTCATTTCCGCAGAGATCACTTTGTTACTAATTTTTTCTATACCTCACCTGTATAAACCTGCCTAGATTGACTAGGCTAATGGACACTTTTACTTAATCGTAATGTTCAGAGTAGCATCATATGAAATTTTCAATAGTAATATAACGAGTGCAATGGAAAATATCGATAATTTTGGGGAATTTGCCCAAATGCATTTTTAGTTGAAAAGGAGCACGAGCGCTTGTGGTGCCGCATAATTCCAATCTGATTGGTTCAAATCAACGGTCAGAACGTCAGTTTATTGTTGGAATGTCAGCTTTGACAGATGTATTAAATTTTCAGAAAAATTGATCGAATGAGTTTTGTATGAGTGGGTTTTTGACACAAAAATCCGAAAGCCTACTGGGTTTTTGTCAATATTGATGGTAGGTTTTTGTGTCAATGCCAACCCCGATTAGAAGGCCTTATGGAAATACACTAAAGGTCTGAATTGTGATTGATCTTCAATTAAGACGTTTGGTAAACATATTGCTACCAAATTTCCTCCAGCTTGCTTCAATGATTGGAAAAAAATGAGTGAAAAGGGATAAAGTTCACAGATGCTAGAAAATGGATAATACTGATGCATTGGTCAGGGATAGAGAAGGAAAATCCTGTGACAGAGGAGTAGTATGAATAGTAGAGAAAGAGAGTGAACAAAGAGAAAATGCTTAATGGGAGAATATTGAAGAATTATTATTCCCTAGAAAAACCCTTCTATATAGTAATAAGGTATAAGGGGAAAAAACCCAAAACCAATTCTCAAACTTAAAAAACCACTCGAAAGTTCCTATATGTTCTCATACAAAAAGCTCCAGGATTAAGCTTGGCAACACGGTGCGGACGGGTTCTCGTTCTCGACAAGTGCGTTTTCTGATATCGCTCGCGTTTCGGCGGCAGTGTTTTCGTGCCCGTCGCACGGGTCGATTGGAAAATTCGTTCGGCGTTTTTTTTTTTCCTTATATTATTTGTGCCCTTTCGGCATGCGGTGCACTTAGAACTTTTTTCCAACGTGAATCGACGCGCAGTGCGATCAACAAGTGACAAAAGGATAAGCGACTTTACCTAGTAGGCCGGTAAGTTAACTTTTCTCGATCATCCCCTAAAATTTGAATTTCATCCCCAAAAAGTTTTTTGTGTACAAAAAAAAAACAAAAAAGAAAACTTCTTCATTGATACAATAAGTGCAACTTCTAATGAAGTTCAAAAGTAAATTTAGTCTTCTGTCAATTCCACTCAGAAGGGTTTATTGTTTGCTTCACAATTTTTTGTGTGTGTAGGAGCATGATGAGAAAAAACTATGAGACTAACTAAAAGAAAGGTGCAAATTGATGCAATTATAACATTCAATAGAAATTTCCAATAACTATCCATAGTTCAATGACTCGTTATCATATTGCCATCATTTTATTGCTACTGTTTTTCATATTGATTGCTAAATTTTGTAATAAATTTAACCAGAATCTGATAATAGCTATTTCCCATTCACATTGTCTTAATAGTCAAACAAATCAAGATTTAGTACCTAGTCTATTTTTTTAAAGTTCCTTAACATTGTTGAGGAGTTTCTAAATAATGACCAAGTATTTTTAGTAAAAGCATCATTATTTCTGATACAAAAATAGCATTTTCTTCTTCTTGTTAAATTTTTGTTGAACATTCCTTTTTATTTTAGTTAATGATTCTAGGCGAGGCAGCCGCGGCCATGATCATCTCCAAGGATCTATTTCTTCTCGGAGACCAAGATTACTTGCGCCTGCCCAATAAAGACGAGAAAAGGTCCCAAGGGCCCAATATGGGCCGTACCAATACTGCCCCCAATCACAGGTAAGTCAAATTGACTCTTCATCAGTTATTCTCAGTCATACTTGAAAAAACATTTTACGACTGGATGTTAAACCTCCACTTCACCACAAACATCAAACCAAAACTAATTTAGTTTTATTGCCTCTACCGTCCCTTTCATTACGAGATCGTTTATCCGAGAATGAATCTAATTATTAGGATACTACTACTAATATTAACGACTATAATTCATGAGTGCGTTCATTAAACACCAGAGAGCACAACATTTCTTTTATTGCACACAACTTCCAACCTAATTACTGAAATTAAATCGCTGCCGCTACGTTGATGACTTCATTAATATAAGTCCACTCCTGTGTCCGCATACTATTATTATTTATTATTATTATTATTATTATTACGATAGGGTGACACACATGTACTTTTGGGTCATTGGACTTTTATCATTTTATATAAATACATGCGATATGTGTTTGTATGTAAAAATTAACAAGAACAGTAGCTACATATTCGATTTTCCAGTGCACGCTATCAGAGGTATGAGTGTAATCAAGTGAAATACGTTACCGGAGGCTTGTTTGTTGTAATATCAAGGATTTGGTAACTTATTTTTTTTTTGTGAGGGTTTGGATTTAGATTTTGTATTGTTGTTAACTAGAAGTTGTATCATTGAAAGTAATCTTCCTCGCCATCAACCTAAATATCATTATATGTGTGGAAGCATAAGGAAGTTCTCTCACTCAAGGTTCATAAAACCTTTTATTTTGATAAGTCTTATGTTTGTATATACCTCCTCTCAAATGATGAAGAACTTGTTTGGCTATCGCCTAGCTAAACTGATATAAGTTGTTCCTAAATCATCAGCCTTCCAATTCTTTATTGATTTGATAGCCCTTTTTTCAACCATCTCAGCTACTATTTCGATTTATTGGCATTGGAATTGGATTTATACAAGGGCTAACCCAAATTTTCAGGGATTGTAGTCCGCCACTGAGATAAGAATCGCAGAAAATTTCAGCTTTCTATCTTCAATAGAAAAAAAGTTATGACCATTCAAAGTTTTCCAAAATCTAAATCATAGGGTAGCTAACTGACTACTAAAACGATGATATTTCCAAAAAAAATTTGTTGAGATTTTGTGTCCTAATGGTCCCTCGGGATCCTCCGAACTCCATACACTAAATTATTCCGAGATTTGGAGCCAGATTCTATGAAAAAAGGCACTCAGAAAAATTGAAAAATTGATAAATCACCCCAAATTGTTTAACACGATTTTATCTCAGGAACTATAAGTGCAAATGAGCTGAAATTTTCAGGGATTGTAGTCCCTTGATTGGGATAAAATTCAGTGGAAGTTTCAACTTTCTATCTATAATAGAAAAAAAGTTATGACCTTTCAAAGTTTTCTAAAATCTAAATCATAAGGTAGGTATCTTCTCTCTGAAACGATAAAATTTCAAATTTTCTTTTGTCGAGATTTTGTATCCTAATGGTCAATCAACATACTCCAAACTCCATACACTAAATTATTCTCAGATTTGAAGTCGAAATCTATGAAAAAAGGCACTCAGAAAAATTGAAAAATTGATAAATCACCTCAAATTGCTTAACACGATTTTATCTCAGGAACTATAGGTGCAAATGAGCTGAAATTTTCAAGAATTGTAGTCCCTTGATTGGGATAAAATTCAGTGAAAGTTTCAACTGTCTATTTATAATAGAAAAAAAGTTATGACCTTTCACAGTTTTCCAAAATCTAAATCATAAGGTAGGTACCTTCTTACTAAAACGATGCAATTTCAAATTTTCTTTTGTCGAGATTTTGTATCCTAATGGTCAATCAACATACCCCAAACTCCATACACTAAATTATTCTCAGATTTGAAGCCAAAATCTATGAAAAAATGCACTCAGAAAAATTGAAAAATTGATAAATCACCCCAAATTGCTTAACACGATTTTATCTCAGGAACTATAAGGGCAAATGAACTGAAATTTTCAAGAATTGTAGTCCCTTTGATTGGGATAAAATTCAGTGAAAGTTTCAACTTTCTATCTATAATAGAAAAAAAGTTATGACCTTTCAAAGTTTTCCAAAATCTAAATCATTCTTACTAAAACGATGAAATTTCAAATTTTCCTTTGTCGAGATTTTGTATCCTAATGGTCAATCAACATACCCCAAACTCCATACACTAAATTATTCTCAGATTTGAAGCCGAAATCTATGAAAAAAGCCACTCAGAAAAATTGAAAAATTGATAAATCACCCCAAATTGCTTAACACGATTTTATCTCAGGAACTATAAGGGCAAATGAACTGAAATTTTCAGGGATTGTAGTCCCTTGATTAGGATAAAATTCAGTGAAAGTTTCAGCTTTCTATCTATAATAGAAAAAAAGTTATGACCTTTCACAGTTTTCCAAAATCTAAATCATAAGGTAGGAATGTTGATATCGAAAAAAAATATCGATATATATCATATCGATATTTAAAATTAATATTGTATCGAGCGTTTGATATATCGTTGAAAAATATCGATATTTCGATATATCGACAAAAAAATTAAATGCTCAATTAAGGGTCGCGGATTCTCAATAATCTCAATAGCGAGTCACCTTCAGGTTGGTTTCAACTCCAAGAGTGCGTTCGAAATCACCCTGGGCGTCACACTCACACAGAGTGCACACCAGCCATGCATTTTTCATGAATGGTGTGCACTCGGTGTGACGCCCAGGGTGATTTCGAACGTACTCCAGGGTAAGCGTATCCAGTTGCTATGTTTACCCTGGAGTTATGTTCAACCAGGGGCCAGGTGACTTATTGCTATTGGGAAACCCGGCCCTGAGTAAAAGTATTATTTTTTCATTTTCATTTGTTCTGAATGTCTGTCATTGCTTGTCTGACTACAACTGTCACTAGTGCCACTATAGAAAGTTTTTTTAAAAAATATTTCGGTGATACCGCTCCACTTGCTCTCAATCGCTCGAGATAAAACCTCTTAATCGAAATTATTGCCTTGAAAAGTTCTTAGAGCGTATAGCAGTGAATTTTTTTTTGATCGTGGTGGATAAATATATCGAGTACCGATAGTCAACTTTTAATATCGATATACCGATATATCGAAACAAAAAATATCGGTCGATATTATCGATATATCGGAAGAAAAATATCATCCATTTGATATATCGATATTTTTTCAACATCCCTATTATAATAAGGTAGGTAGGTACCTTCTCTCTAAAACGATGAAATTTCAATTTTTTTTTTGTCGAGATTTTGTATCCTAATGGTCAATCAACATACCCCAAACTCAATACACTAAATTATTCTCAGATTTGAAGCCGAAATCTATGAAAAAAGGCACTCAGAAAAATTGAAAAATTGATAAATCACCCCAAATTGCTTAACACGATTTTATCTCAGGAACTATAAGTGCAAATGAGCTGAAATTTTCAGGGATTGTAGTCCCTTGATTAGGATAAAATTCAGTGAAAGTTTCAGCTTTCTATCTATAATAGAAAAAAAGTTATGACCTTTCACAGTTTTCCAAAATCTAAATCATAAGGTAGGTACCTTCTCTCCAAAACGAGGAAATTTCAAATTCTTTTTGTCGAGATTTTGTATCCTAATGGTCAATCAACATACCCCAAACTCCATACACTAAATTATTCTCAGATTTGAAGCCGAAATCTATAAAAAAATAAAAAAATGGACAAATCATTCTAAATTGTCCAACACGATTTTATTTCTGGAACTATAAGTCCCAATGAACTGAAACTTTCAGGGATTGTAGTTCTCTATTGGGATAAAAATCGCTGAAAATTTCAACTTTCTATCTCTAATAGAAAAAAAGTTATGGCCTTTCAGAGTTTTCTAAAATCTAAATAATAAGGTAGCTACCTTACTACTGAAAAGATGAAATGTATTATTAGTTCTCTACACTTCCGATCTCAAGTTTCTGCCAGTTTTGATTCATCAATGCAAAATTCCACTGGCCTATAGAGATCCATTAAATCCCTCGTTGAAAGATGTAAAGACAAATCTCGAAGAGATGAGAAACGCCGCCTATTTAAACATCTATAAGAACGGGCATTTCATTCGAAATGGTATGTATTGTACGTGCGTATGCACATTCTTCGCGCTGGTTACCCGATAATGATATCGTGCACTCGTTCCTACAAATCATACTACACACGGCAAGTACTACCATGTAATTTGCCTCCCATTGTACAAATTGTGCACAAAATGCTTCTCGGAATATAACGATATATCCGATTTCGCAATCACCGTGGTAAATGGAAATAGTAAACATTGTGTTTGTTTTGGAATTTAATGCTTATTCATTGTTTTGAGTATAGAATGGTCGTGGGAAATAGACGCACTTGATTTTTGCATTATTGAGCATTTATTTTTTTGTCAACGTTGCAACGAATCTGCGAAGAACTGTGTGTGTGAAGTAAACTGGATTTGATTGGAATCCTAGGAATTAGAGACACATGATTGAGCTGGCAGACATTTCCTCGTATTGGATTTTCCCAAACTTCCCCGCAATGTCTCAGATTTTCCTAATTTTGGCCTTTTTCTAACTTTCTTGTTCTTCCTCTGCACTTTCTTGAAAAGGGGCAAACTTCGCAGGAGACTTTGATTAAACCGATCTACAAGCAGTACTGCAAATTTTATGGAAATATCCTCTTTGACACTAATTGTCCTAATCTTTGTAGGCATCATAATAAGGGATGCATTTTCTTCAATCAACGCATAGAAACCAAAAGGATGTCTTGTTTTGTATGTTGATTACAATCAACTATGCCTTGAACTTATCCCATTTAAAATCCAATCTAGCCAGTTTAAGTCAATAAATGAGAAGATTGCTCTCTTTACAAAGAAAACCCGATTTTTTTTCGAAATCCCCCTTGCTGGGATTGTTGAGGATGGTCATGGCCACTCTCTGTCCGTCGTCATTTTGCCACGCCACGACCGGAAGTCGACGATTACCGATTTCAAAAGGTTACTTTGT